TTAAAGAGCATGAAATTGCTGCATAATTGGCCTGACCAATTTGTATTGGAGACTGCTCGCATACATTTAGTCGGAGGAGCTAAACACTGGATGTTGAGCAAGATTGAAGATATAAGAACTTTTCAAGATTTTGAAAATGCATTTAAGAAAACATTTATTGGAAAAGTGAGCTTAGCTGAAAAATGGAGATTAATGGAGGCCCGAATACAGAAAAAAGAAGAGAGTTTAAGTAATTATTTTCATGAAAAAGTAAAATTATGTAAGGATTTGGGATTAGAGTTTATGGATACAAGAGAGCAAATTTTAGTTGGATTATATGATAAGAATTTATGTGACGTAACTTCTGGAAAAATGCATATTGATGTAGATGATTTATTGCACTCGTTAGAAGAATTTGAAAGAATAAGTAATAGAAGAAAATTGAGACATCGAGAGATCATAAGAAATGAAAAACATTTTGAAACAAAACCTGATACTAGAAATCAACAGCAACAATCAGAGCAAAATAAAACAGTCCATGAACAACGAAGTAGATATTTGCCACCAAGAAATGACAAAAATCAACCATTATGTTTTGTTTGTAAAAAATACGGTCATACATCGAAGTATTGCAGAACTAATTCTTCAAATGGAACAAGTCAATCAAATCAAAATCAATCAAATCAAGATAGGAATGTTAATGTTTGTATTACCAGCATGGATTTTAATAAAATGAGCCAGAAATATTTTCAAGAAGCAATGATTGATGGAAAACCAATTCAAACTTATGTTGATTTAGGAAGTCAAGGAAACCTGATTAGAAAGTCAAGTGCTGAACAGTTGAATTTAGAAATAAAAAGTATCAAAACCCCATTAACTGTAAGAGGATTTGGTTATGGAAAAGTGGACATATTAGCAGAAATAGAAGTTGAAATAGAGATTGATCAAGCTAAAGCATTTACAAAACTTTTAGTAGTACCCGATAATTATCTTGATATTCCATTATTGTTAGGACAACCATTCACTGAACAGAAGCACATAGTTATTATAAAAAGGGAGATCAGTTGAGAATATTTGAAGATGAGCATATTGAAGATCAATCGAACTTGACTAAAATACAAATACCAACATTACCAATGCAAAAAGTTAATTTATGGTCAAACGAAAAGAAAGTAATACCTAAAAATTATATTGGATTTTTAGAAGTATATATCAAAGACAATTTAAAAGAAGATCTATATATTGAGTCGACAAATGATGAAAGAAGATGTATCCCAAGATGTGTAGTAGCTGTGAACGAAAATTTGCAAACATATGTACCAATCATAAATTTAAATAATGCTGACCTGTCCATAGATAAAAATGAGAAAGTAGCAAGAGCTGTACGTTGTCGTGAAGCTCAAGAAGAGAATATTGAAGTAAATAAAAATAATTTGGAGATTTTTGAAGAAAATAGTGAAGATAAGATCAAAAAAGAAGATATGCATATAAATGACCATATTTCTACAGAGACACAAATGAAATTAATAAAGATTTTAAATCAATATTCAGATTGTTTTGCCAACAGTCTAAAAGAATTAGGATGTACACCAGAATTTGAATGTAAAATAGAAACCACAACAGATCAACCAGTTACGTATCGTCCATATAGATTAAGTCATTCTGAGAGAGCAAAGGTACGGGAAATGGTAGAAGAGCTGAAGAACGCTGGAATTATAGTAGATTCAAACTCATCCTATGCTAGTCCAATACTAATTGTAAAGAAAAAGACGGGAGATGAAAGATTTTGTATTGATTATCGAGGCCTAAATAAAATCACAACGAAAATGGAGTTTCCACTACCAATAATTGAGGATCAATTAGATAGATTGTCTGGAAAAAACTATTATACATCATTAGACATGAAAAGCGGATATTATCAAGTACCAGTAGAGAAAAATTCAAGAGCGAAAACAGCGTTTGTCACAAGTGATGGTATATATGAATTTAAGAAGATGCCATTTGGGTTGTTGAATGGACCGGCCATATTCAGTAAGATGATTAACCATGTACTAGGACCTTTAAGATTTACAATAGCAATGGCATACATGGATGACATCTTGTTACCTAGTGTAACAGAGGAAGAAGGATTAAATAACCTTGAAGAAATTCTAATTGTGTTACGAAGAGCAAATTTGAAACTAAATCTAAAGAAGTGTTTCTTTCTAGAAGAAAATATTGAATACTTAGGTTATGAAATATCGAAAGGAGAAATTAGACCAGGAAGAAAGAAACTGAAGAGTGTAAGTGATTTTCCAACACCTGAGAATGTGAAGAATATCAGACAGTTTCTTGGTTTAACAGGATATTTCAGAAAATTTATTAAAAGTTATGCCATAAAAGCAAAACCATTAACAAAACTGTTATCGAAAAATACTAAATGGATTTGGGACCAAGATCAGCAAGAAGCCTTTGAACTTTTGAAAGAAGAATTGACAAGTACGAGTGTGTTAAGATTGTATGATCCGAAAGCATATACTGAAGTTCATACTGATGCTTCAATGATCGGACTAGGAGCAATTTTGTTACAAAGAGGTTCAAATGATGAAATGCATCCTGTTGCATTTATTAGTAGACAGACTACACCCGAAGAACAAAAATATCATTCAGGAGAATTAGAAACTTTATGTGTTACCTGGGCATTAGAAAGATTGAGAACTTACCTGATTGGAATACACTTTGTTGTTGTAACTGACTGTAATGCTTTACGCACTACCTTCACGAAAAAGAATCTAATACCTAGAATAGGTAGATGGTGTTTGAAATTATTGGATTATGACTATGAGATTAAACATCGCCCTGGTAAAAATATGGAACATGTTGATGCTTTATCGCGAAATCCTATAGAGGTGACAGAAGAAACAGATTGTGGAGAGGGAATTCAACTACTTATTACTCACCTTGATGAAGAAGATTGGTTGTGTGTCTTACAAAGAAAAGATCAACAAATCCAAAGGATAGCTGATGTATTACAGAAGAAAGAGCCTGAAAATATCGAAGAAAGGAGATTGTTAACGGAATATGAAATTAGAGATGGAAGAGTGTACAAAAATGAAAATGGAAATTTGAAATGGGCAGTACCTAAAAGAATCAGATGGAGAATAGTGCAAAAATGTCATGATGAACTGGGACATTAGCATTAGAGAAGACATTACAAAAGATAAAAGAAAAGTATTGGTTTGCCAGAATGAGAAACTATGTAAAGGGTTATATAGGTTCATGTGTCAAATGCCTATATAATAAAACGCCAGGAGGAAGAAGAAAGGGATACTTACATTCCATTGATAAAATTGGTATACCTCTACATACAATCCATATTGACCATTTAGGACCATTTGTGACCAGTAAAAGAGGAAATAAACACATTTTAGTGATAGTAGATGGATTTACTAAATTTACGATACTTAAAGCTGTGAAAAGTACATCGTCTTCGACAGTAGTAAACATATTAGAAGATTTATTCTATCTAATAGGGAAACCATATCGAATCATTACAGATAGAGGAACAGCCTTTACTGGAAATGCTTTCAAGAAGTTGTGTGAAAGGAACGACATTATACGTGTTCAAAATGCAGTGTCAACCCCGAGAGCAAATGGACAATGTGAACGTGTTAATAGATTGATTACTCCGTCTATAGCATCGCTTAGTAACGTAGATGATGGAACAGATTGGGACAAACAAGTAAACAAAGTACAATGGAGCATAAACAACACTATACACCAAGCAACGAAAAGTACACCATATGGTTTATTGTTTAGTTTTGATCCTAGAGAAATACAATATGATCCAGTTGATGACGAAATAGAAAACGAAACACGAAATAGTAGTAGTATTGAGCTAAGAAGAAAGAAGGCTATAGAAAATATTTTAGAAGATCAAATGAAGCAAAGAGAAAGATATAATAAGAACAGAGTGAAATCAGAAGAGTTTCAACCAGGAGACATGGTCATGTTAAGAAGCGAAAATGTTACTGCTTCTGGAGATTCACGGAAGTTGATACCAAAATACAAAGGACCCTATGTAGTAATAGAAAAACTACCTCATGATCGTTACAGAATTGAAGATTTACCTGAAATCCAACGAACTCAGAGATTTTACCGAGGCGTAGCTGCCGCAGACGCCTTGAAACATTTCGATTTGACTCAAAACTTAGAAGATTCTGAAGAAGACGTACAAACAGACGAAACTGACAGTGAAGATGATGAACCATCCGACGACAATGTTCATAAGTCAGAACAGCATGAACCGAAGATGGATTCACAAGAAAAACGGAGCCAAGACGACTGTAGTCAGGTGGTTGATTACGAACCTAAGAGGATTAAGAGGAAGCCTACTTACCTTAAAGATTACTGCCTTTCCGAGGACGAAAAGGATTAAGGATGGCCGAATGTTAAAGACATATTATTTTTCATATTATCATATATATTTCTTATATTGTTATACATATTTAAGTTGGTAGCATTGATCGTTAAGTGGTGACCTCGGGTAGAGAGAGAGACCGCCATGAGATAATCAAGCGACCAAGTGTTATAAATAAAGCAGTTTTTAATTAGTGTGTGCCCTTTTGTGTACCCCATTAACTAAGAAACTAGAAACAGTGAACTAAAGTGAACTTAAATAAAATCCAGAGAACAAGTGACCAGGGTTCTAGTTATTTAACACTATGTATATTATTTTTAAAATAGAAACCAAAAATACGAGGAATAATTATGTTTTCCATGTATTCTACAACATATTTATTAATGTGTAGTATCTAACTAGCGTGACGTCATAAAGCTCGCTCCTAGGCTGTTCTACTAGAGACGGCATTGCGACAGCATGGCTGCAAGTTGCTAACCTAATAAAATTAACACTAGAAAAGCCCGCGGGAACTGTCAAATTCAAAGTTATTCGTTTCACAGACTATAGTAAGAAGTTTCTCTTCAAATATGCGCACATAGATCACACGCAATTTTTTTATTATACATTTTCTTTCATTTAGGTCTTCACATGACCGAACATCCAGAAGCCCAAAAAATAGCGAGAACCTTCGCCAACAGATGGATCAGCGCCAACATGAAAGGCTACCAACGGGACAACGCGATGTACGAAAAGTACGACGCCGTCGAACCGGGCGTATACGGAGGCGGTGGCGAGTACGAGGTCCAGTTGGGGTTCGGCTGGACGAACGGAGTGGCCCTCAGCTTCATACACACATTCTATAGCAGTGCTCATTCCATTTCCAAAGCCTTATTAAAGCCGTACATTTATTTTGGGCTTATTAGTTTAATAATGTACATAAGTAACGTTTTAAGGTGATCAAAAACTTATCGTAGAAAATCTCTTTACCATAACATATTTTTTACCCACAGTGGCGGATTAATCGTTTAGCGAAGCGTTTCTTAACCTTTTTCAGTTCGCAGACCCCTGAAAAATCAAGCAAAATTTCAAGGACCCTCCTAATTTAAAAAAAACAGAAATTTTAAGACAAATTACTTTACTACAAAAAATTACATTTTTATAAAAATTAAAAATACTTTATTAATGTGAATTAATAAATGGTGCTGCTTTTTCTTGCAACTAAATTAATAATATTCAGGTTGATCTTTTGACTTAGTTGTAATCTCAAATCGGATTCTAATTGTAATCTCTTTCTGTATTCAGTGGCGGATACAGAGGGGGTCCCATGGCCCCCCCTAGAATCTGTAAATTGGGTTAAATCTTAGGCTTTTGGATTAAAAATGGCGCCCTAAAAAGTATATTCTACATTACTTTTTATTTTGGGCCCCCCCTAAAATAAATTACTGTATCTGCCCCTGTCTGTATTTGTTTTCATGTATACAAGAGTAGAGAATGATTTTTCACAGAGGCATGTGGATGAGAAAAGCAGTAAATGTTTCAGTGCTACCTGTGGTGCCTACTTCTGATATTTCTTTATAAACTTTTTCTAGATTCTCCCAAAAATTTGATAAAGAAGTTTCTTTGAAATTATGTTTTAAAGCTGAATCACATGATATTTCTATTAACTCATTTTTCTGTATCGTTGTCAAGCCGTTGATATCTGAAACACCTGCGATGAAATCTGAATGATCTGCCTGAAAGGGTCTGCTATCCAGTTTTTATTGTCAGGTTCTGAAAAATATCCCAGAAAAGATGACCTCAAAATGCTGACATTTAGTTATTAATTCAAATATTGATAGATAAGACGGCGGACCCTCATATACATATTTGCGGACCCACAGGGGTCCGCGGACCACAGGTTAAGGAACGCTAGTTTAGCGTATTTGGTCGAGTCACGAGGTTTTTCAAAAAACATGTGCCATCTCACGCAACAAAAGATTTATTTTTTATATCAGCATAGGTCCGGGTCTGCTTTGTTTCGTAGCTATGGGGTCTTAGTCTTCATTTTCTCGTTTTGTTAAAATTTTATAAGTGCTTTTAGCTCGGCTTTTAATTATTCAAATAAAATTTTGAGGGTAAAAGTTCCTATCTGTTCTACATATCTTAGTGCTAAAAAAGTGTTGATAGATTCACCACAGACGTGCATATGGGTAATCACTGGAATATTTTTATAAAGAAAAGCATGTGAGCCCTTGACTTTCTGTCTTCTTGTTAACAAAATTTTGTAGAATGCCGATTAAAAGATGTATACAGGGTGTTTCAAAAAACATGTGCCATCTCTCGTGGGTAAAAATAAGATTTATTTTTTATATCAACATAGGTCCAATTCTGCTTTGTTTCGTAGCTACAGGGTGTTAAATTCTTAATATTTTTTGAATTTATTATAATTTTCTTCCTAATACTTTTATCGTTTTGAATGAAATTTTGAGGGTAAAAGGTACTATAAATGCGACATATTTTAAAGGTAAAGAAGTGTTGACATATTCACCAGGGACGTGCATAGGGGTTATCACTGGAATATTTTTCTAAAAAAAGCATGTACGCCACTGACTTTTCTTTCCCTCTTTAGCGAAATAGTGTAAGCAGTTTAATGCCGATTAAAAGTTGTCTATTGATATTTTGTCGATTTCGGCTTCCTTGATGAGATAAACGCAATTTTATTAATTTGCCTTGATCCAAGTCTAATAGCAACCTTTAAAAAAATTAATATCATTAACTTGCGAAAGTTTTAAATATGTACTCTTTGATTCCTCATATCATCAAAAAATATGAAAAAAAGTTCCTGTAAACATATTATGGAAATGCATAGTTTTAGAATTACAGGATGTTAAAACTTTTTGAAATGATGTGTTGTAATTACCTTAAATTCCATTATTTTTTTTATTTGAAATTGCTGTAACTTGGACTAATAGTAATAATAACTAATAATAATAAAATTTAATAATAAATTAGGTAAAGTATATAATTTATTAATTTTATTTTTATTTTAATTTTATGAATTGTGATTAATAAAATTGCGTTTATTTCATCAAGGAGGCCGAATTCGATAAAATATCAAGAGATAACTTTTAATTGGCACTAAAACGCCTACACAATTTTGATACTAATAAAATTGCGTTTATTTCATCAAGGAGGCCGAATTCGATAAAATATCAAGAGATAACTTTTAATTGGCACTAAAACGCCTACAAAATTTTGATATCAAAGGAAAAAAGTCAGTGGCCCACATGTTTTTTTTATGAAAAATATTCCACTGATAACCCATATGCACGTCCCTGATGAATCTATCGCCATTTTTTAGTCTTAAAATATGTAGCACTTATAGTAATTTTTATCCATAAAATTTTATTCGAATCACTAGAAGTACTTGGAAGAAAATTATAATTAATCGAAAAAATGTTAAGACTTTAACACCCTGTAGCTACGAAACAAAGCAGAATCGGACCTATATTGATATGAAAAATAAATCTTATTTTTACGTGAGGAATTTCTCCACGAGAGGTGGCACATGTTTTTTGAAACACCTTGTGTATTGATATTTTGTCGATTTCGATGTCCTTGATGAGATAAACGCAATTTTATTAATCACAATTAATAAAATAAAAATAGTAGATTATTTATTTAATCTAATTTATCATTAAATTTTATTAAAATTTACTGATTTTCAGTGCTACCTACAGCAAATTCCAAATAAATGGTATTTAATATAATTACAAAAGACCTATTATTCAAAAGTTTTAACATCCTGTAACTTTAAACTATGAATTTCAAACCCATATTTATTCATAGAAACTTTTTTCATATTTTTTTGATGAGAAATCAATGAGTTCTTATTTAACACTGGTCAGTTAATGACATTAAAAAATGTAATAAAATTGAGTTTATCTCATTAAGGAGTCCGAAAACGACAAAATAACTGAAGACAACTTTTAATCGGCATTAAACGTTCTATAAATGTTTTTTTAATATTCTTGTGACACAATATGTACGTCGCTGATGAATATGTCATTTTTAGCATTAAAATATGTCGCACTTATAGAAACGTTTACCTTCAAAATTTCATTCGAATCGCTAAAAGCACTTGAAAGAAAATTATAATAAATAAAAAAATGAAGACATTAACCTTCTATAGCTATGAAACAAAGCAGCATCGGACCTATATTGATAGAAAAAAATAAATCTTATTTTAGGCGAGGAATCTCCCTTCAAGAAATAGCACATGTGTTTTGAAACACCCTGTATGTGGGCGTTAAACAGAGAAATTTGTCACGCTCTGAAATGCCTAGTCAATTCACTTACCGCCGACAAACAGCGTAACTTTTCAATTGATACATCCTTTGACAACAGATTAACTTACAGATATGGCACTTATTTCATCTTGCTGATAAACGCCGCCGTGACCTCAAACCTTTAATATGGCTATGATGTTGTCAGACTTCGTTTTTTTTTCTCGGATGGATTGTTGCCTTTTGTAAAAAATGTACTCCCAACTGTACCTAATATGTGGCACAGTTTTTTGTTGATCAATGGTAGCTATTCATCATACGCATGCGCTTTGTATTCAGTCCCTTTAAATAGGATATTTAAAGCATCCTTGATATATTTAGTTGCTCCGGCTCATGGATGAATCTGGATTAACCTGTGGTTTGACTGTGAATCTCAATCGTCTCTGCTCAAATTAGCCTCTATTAACTAAATTATTAGTTAGCCTGTTTGCTAGTTTTTGGGGTATCAATGATATTAAGAAGTTTAAGACAACCTTGTTGCCTTTTAGTTCATTAAAGTAAGGTATTTTCTTTAATTACGTTATTTAAGATAAAATGTACCGAAAGGTTTCTAGTTATCAGTATTTTTTTAATGGAAAAATGGATATTTTGAAATTGGAGAGATGGTTTCTTGTTAAAGAAATTTAAATGTTGTAACATGTCTATTTCAACTAAAATGTACTGAGTAGTTAATAAAAACATTCATTGATTGAAAACGGCAAACAGGGTAACTGAGTTGATTCAATTAATTACATAATTTTACTAAACTCCGTCATTACAGGGAATGGCCTGAGATCCACAGTCAAACGATGTACCAATTGAAGAGTTGCGCTGTTTCCTGGCAATATATGAAAAGATGGCATGTCAGGAAATGACGGGTTTCAGTATATGACTTCGACATAATATACATATAGAATAAAGAGGAAAGGAGCCTTTACTAAGCATAAGTCGATAGATATTTATTTATTGAATCGAGGTTAAATCAATATGTTCCAAAACTTAAAAAAAAGTACAGCATGTGTATACAAGGATTAATTTAAATATTGGATTTAATCCGCTACTGTGATTATTGTATTTTTATAAATAGTGTTTTGTTAAAACGTTTTGTTCGTTGCATATACACAATAGGTATATTACAATGAACTTGTGCTCACTGTTATTGTTTGAAATAAAATAAATTAAAAATAATAAAATACTTTTTTTCATTAACTCACCAGGCAACAATCGTGCCTGGGGGTACATACATCAGAAGGAGTCTTTACTCCTCCCGATACCATAAATAAGACATTTACGTCCACGTTCTGTCTACAACAGTCAGTCTGGGAACAGTAGAATGAAAACTTTAAGTACCTGCAGAACAATCAGGAAAACTTGGCCGAAATACGATCTTAGCAAAGCTCATAAGTAAGTCGCGTACAGACATCGTCAGGCTAACGGTGGTATACTTATACGGGACACTGCCCAATTAGTCGAAGCTGCATTGGCTCAAAAGAAGGGGAAACGGGTCCTACATTTCCTATGCCTCTGTCCTTTTTTTATTTTATTTTTATACTGCTGTGTATAGGACCCCGAATCATTTCCGCGGAGACATATAGCATCATAGCTCTGGAAAATGTTGACGGCAAGAGCATAATGGTTAAGTTATCCGTTTCCTCAATTCCATCGAATGATTATAAACACTTAATAATCCATTTGTACCATCCCTATGAATGGGGTCTGAGTGTCTGATGAAAGGACTGAGTGTCATCAAAATTAGTTAGTTAATCAGTTAGTCAGAGTGGTGATTAAATCCATATAAGGTATAAAATATAAATTTTTTATACTCATAAACAAAAGACTTGAAATTTCTCCCTTTTCGCTTATTTAGTATTGATATTTTTTTAAGAAATAAATATATACAGGGTGAGTTTCCTACGATGTTCTCTATGGGTATCTCGGAAACCACTGGAGATACAGAGTCGGTTAAATGGGGAAAGAATTGCAGTTTTGTGGGGTCACAAATATGCGCCTTTCAGATTGAAAAAGTTCATGGTTTACTAGATATTTCGAAAAAAACAAATTTTGGCTATTTTAAAAATCGTCTCTAATTCCGGTATTATCTATTTTAGAGAAAAAGTTTTCAGATCAAAGTTGTAGATAATCACATCCTTAATGAGATTGTATCCTCCTATGTTTTTTTTTCTAAACAAACATATGTTTTTTTAAATGGAAACCATAGTTGGTCATGACTTCATAAAAAGCGCTATTTTTTAAGCTTTCAGCGATATAGGTTAAATGTTCAAAAACCGCCATCGTTTTGAGTGCATTAAATGCATCTTTTTAAAACTGAAGTACAAGCTTTTCCCACAGAACGGCCGGTCGACTTTAATAAACTTCTCCTCTCCTAATTCATGCTTGCATGATGTCTCTCTTAATTCATAAGTTGTTTTGTAAACTTTGTTGTTAACCATACAGCATAAAAAAAATCTAAAATGGATTGGTCAGGTGATCGAGGAGGCCTATGCAATTAGTCAGTCCACCTCTTCCTATCCCTGAGTTTGCATAATTATGATATAAATAATTTTTAACATTTCTTTCATTATGAGCGGGAGTGTTATAATGAAAGCAATGTTGGAACCACTCTATTGATGCGCGAGTATCTAAATTTAACTTTTCTAAAAAACGTAGTAAGTAACGTTCACCGGTCAACGTATCCTCGAAAATGTATGGCCAAGAAAAGTTAAACCCAATAATCCTACACGCTTTTCTTCATTTGAAAAATTCATATTTACAATTTTTGTTTATTAAAATAAACAAAAATTGTAAATTTTGTTATTAAAATAAACAAAAATTGTAAATATGAATTTTTCAAATTTTGTAAATTAAACTTTCTAAATTAAAATTTACAAAGTTTGGATGTGACAGTTTCACATTACTGAAAGCAACGACGATTGAACTTGTTCCCATGGCTAACTAAGTGAAATTATTTTAAAATTATAAGAATTTGCTATAACTCAGTAATTTTTTGAAAGAAGCATATATTATAGCTTATATCACTGAAAAGCTTAAAAATGGCGCTTTTTATGAAGTCATGGCCAACTATGGTTTCCATTTAAAAAAACATGTGTTTGTGTCATATGTCAAAAATGACAGGCTTTAGAAAAAAAAACGGAGGACACAATCTCATTAAGTATGTGATTATCTACAACTTTTATTTGAAAACTTTTTGTCTAAAATAGATTATAATGGAATTAGGGACAATTTTTGAAATAGCCAAAATTTGGTTTTTTTTTTCGAAATATCTAGTAAGCCATGAACTTTTTAAGAAATCTGAAAGGCACATGTTTATGACCCCACAAAACTGCAATTCTTTCCCCATTTAACCGACACTTTATCTCCAGTAGTTTCCGAGATACCCATAGAAAACATCGTAGGAAACTCACCCTATATTTTAGATATAGCCCTTGTATATATATTTTTATAAACAAGGATATAGCCTAGCATGATGTTTGTTAATTAAAAGTAGTATTTATTACAATGCGATCTTGAATCATGAAGTATGCATACATAAAAAGAACTTAAGCAGTTTTATGCAATTATTGGAAGTGAAATAAGTACCTAACACACTAAAATAAACCTGCTTTACTTTAATATAAGCAAAAATTAAAAAAAAATCAATATGAATTGTATTAGTAAAAGCTTATTATTAATGATATTTTTTATTTCTTTTGCTTGTCCCTAGATGTAAGGAAACTAATTAATATAAATTGTAATGTCCAAAATGCTATCAAACCAACCGATGCCATTATTTCATATAAATTTTCTTCGGTAGATCCTTTTTTCATTATACTTCTAAAGGTAGCGATGGGCGTACTGAATGGAAAATATTGTATGATAGTTTGTAGCAGCTTGGGTAATGCTTCAAAAGGCCACATGAAACCTAGAACAAAACGGAAAGCTGGGTAGATAATGCTTAAATTAATATTTTTTATACTTATAGGCTTAGTGCATTTCAGTTCATTTCAACAAATTCCGACCGCAGGGCACTCTACGGCAGGAATCAGAAATTATCAGTATATAGCTCACGCCGCGCCGCGCCGTCATGTCGATCGCATTAAAATAACATTGAAATCGGGGTTTTGTCATAATATTTAAGTATTTTAGTTTTTTTGTTAGTGCAGTTATTCAGACTATGAAACACTCAGGTACGAGGTTTGTGTGATGTAACGGGGTAGTAAAGAATAATAGCCTAAGAGCTGACGACATATTTAGAGAACATATTTTAGGCAAGCTAGATTAATTAAAAATGTATAGTTTATTAACTGGTGAACCCAGAATCCTAAGTCTGGCTGGGGGGTTGGGGGTATTTCGCTACTGCGCAACCCGTAACATTTGCAAAAAAATAAATCCAAAAAACATTCTTTAGGCAACTTGAAATTTGTTTATTCTTAAATTTTAGCATCTATTTAATCTAGAAATAAGTATGCCAGACTTTTTTTTTTCGGGTTTAAAGTGTAACCAGACCATTCCAAATGTTGTTTAATTATTATACCTGGAAAACATACTTTAGGCACTCTAAAATTTTTACAGCGTGTTTATTAGATGATATTAAAAAATAGGTGTTAATTGCCAGACGAATTCAATGGGATTTAATACTTGCCAGACGCGAATAAAGATTTTAAATGAGCGCGATAAGAAAGTCTTATGAGTATCTATAAGCGCGAGAAAGATAGTTTATTGAGACCCGGTCGGCAATAGTGCGCAGTAGCGAAATACCCCCAACCCCCCAGCCAGACTTAGGATTCTGGGTTCACAAGTTATTAAACTTTATTTTTTTTGTTGTTCTAACTTGCCTAAAATATGTTCTCTAAATATGTCGCCAGCTCTCCGGCTATAAGTGAAAAAGAATTCGAACTAGGCGTCTTGTTGTATTGTGACAATTTCAAATGTTAATAAAATTGTCCAAAAAAATGTAAACGCGTAAAGGAGAGCGTAATTATGGCGCTATTGGATGCAATAACATTCAATAACTCAACTTTCCCGGATATTCAACTCTCCTATACTTAGCTTCATAATTTCTTACACCGATTTGATCAATAGCAAAAATAGATTCAAGCAGTTCGACGAAACAAGTGAGTAAACAAAGTGTTCGTTACATAATCAAAAAATTAAATAGACATATACTATGAGAGGATGAAATATAATTTGTGTGCAATATTAATAAATATAAATTTCGTTATAGCCGAAATAACGGCGGTGGCAGCACCGGCGGAGAATGCATCAAGCCTATACAACGCTTATACACTTATATTAAGAAGGATTCTCACGACTCGTGTACTTGACAAACATTGTAATTGGTATAAAAGGTATACATGGTGCGTCGGGTATCTATACAGAATTTCTAAGTTATTTCTTATAGGAGCTACGCCGCATTCTCACAGGACCCTCTATGCGAATAAAAAATACTTGCCAAGTATACGAGTCGTCAGAGTCCGCCTTTACTTACCACAAGTTATTAAAGTGGGAAACAAAAATGAGGTACTTAAAATATGAGCTTGAATGTGGTTTTTACTATTAGCTGATATGCAGAACCCTAAAATAAAATACAATAATTTAACAACACATTTAATAGAAAAATAATATTGTTGTTAACACTACTTTGCAATTTTTAATAAATTACAATTTATTCAATAATAACTAAACTAATATAATATCTGTGACGTAAGAAACAAAGCTTTAAATGCATAAATATTTTAAATAAACAGTGTAAAAACCGTCAAATCCGAAAAATTATTAACATACTCTTTTAATTTCGAAAAATTCGTTCACCTCATGAATTTTTTCAAATTTTTTCTTTTGAACTTAATATTTTTTTTAATTTTAAAACTTACTGATTACCTTTGAATAAAAAGATAAAAAAAGAGAGTATGCCACAATAATACTATTCATGTATTCATGCATGGTGGACGGAATCCACATCATAGTGGCAGGAGCCCAGTCCGTGGCAGTTCTGTTTGACGTTTTGAATTCGATTTGAAATTTCGGGGATTTGTTTGTTTTTACTGACTGACTTACTTACGGTTTTGTTTAGGGGTAATAAAGTCAAGAAGGAAATTGTGTTAGAACTTACATTAACAGTGACACTATTGCAATTTATTGAAAAAAGACTAAAGTAGTTGAGTGTGCAGCGTGAGGTAGATCTCATTCAAAAATCAAAGGAAATAATGGCCACAACCCACAACTTTTTACTGGTAAGTATCTATACAAAGTTATTCACTACATACGACAACGAGTATTGTAGCTAAATAATTAGATTTATACAAATTGTAAGTTTTGGATTCGTTGAAGGACTATTAGAGCTACAATTTAAAAATATTTTTACAAGATACAGAGTGTCCCAAATAAATAAAAATATCAAAGTTCTTTTTTTTTAATGTATATTATTACATTTTTAGTTTCTACTAAGGTTTGCCGCATTATAATCTTACCGTTTTTAAGATATTTACGTTTTTTGTCAAAATACAGTAAAAATGTTAATGCTTCATTTCTCTAGACGTATTTAAGTTTTTAAAACCAAATATTGTACTGAACTTTTTCTATTTACTAAATTTTGTGTTGCAATAATAAAAATTATACTACCTTATACAGAGTGTCTAAAAATGTATTTTCAATAATTAGGTACTAGCTTTAATTGCTACAACCCTCGGTATGTTTGTACTTTATTTGATAGAAAATGACACTCTAAATAGAATGACATAGCATATGTCAACTTTTGACATTCTCGCATATGGTTTATTTGAAGTTGTAAGATGCGATTCATAGCGATAACTTGACTCAAAACACAAGTGTGTAGTACCAAATTATTCATAAAAAATGCTTTTTCCAAATATGCTAATGAGCCACCCTTGTTCTATTTGGGAAAATTGAGATATGATTAAAAATACGATTTGGGCATCTTTTAACCGGCCAGAATAAGACACAAATAACATTAGACGCAGTGGCGGACTAAGGGTGGGGGCGGAAGGGGCGGTCCGCCCCGAGTCCCGTCTTTCAGGGGGCCTCCAAATCTCAATAAGTAATTTTTTATGCAACTGCCAAACAAGACCAATATGTGTTCAATACTTATGAAGCAATTTGTAGGTGGAGTATGCAAACCATACGTATACGCAAACTATAAACAGTATAAATAGAAGCAGATATTTACTTAATTATCAATTATCAGGCTCCAGTAATTCTCAATGGCATTTTCTATTTAGGAAATTAAATCAAGGGGTAATTTTCTTTGCTTAAAATATCGAATAATTATTATTTTTTATAATTTTAAAGATTACAACAATTATGAATATAAACTTGAATTTATTTATGTTAGCTTTTAAGTTATATTTCAATGGTTTCATTATTTATTTTTACTGAATAAACGTTTTAAATTACAACCAATGCACAGCATAACTTGTATTCTAGCTTTCTGACCGATGGTGAGTACTGTGTCGTCTTTAGTATAACGGGGGCCACGAGCCTGAGACAGCGAAGGGACCCCTAGAATCTTGGAGGACTTACAAAATCGCTATATTTTGTAGCGATATTTCCCTGGAACGGTCGCGACCATAGACTTAAAATAAAATATAGACTGAGCATCTCATTCATAAATAGCTGGAACATGCGGTCAGACAATATCTTGTTATTGTTGTGTTATTGTTTTAGGTTATAACGAGTGCGACACGAGCGATAGATAGGTTGTCTCTGTCGTAACGGTCGTTCCCTGACGACTCTGCCGAGAAAGACAACACTGTCTTTCGTTTCTCAAGTACACCTGAACTCTCCGTCTCATAGCCGGGTAATTTTTTTATTTTAATGAAGCTATAATTAAATTAAAAATATATCGTATTTAAACTTTTTTATATTTTATTAAGATTTAGGACAGGTTTTTTAAATAAAAGTTTAGAAAAAACGTCTTAGAGTCCAAAAAGGATAAAAATAATAAAATACACGTTATACAAGAAATTTTATAATCAAAATTATGTAATTTTTGAAATTAATAATAAATTATTAATTTTAGTCAAACATTTACAACCCCTAATATTAATCAAAACAGGATTTATTCCACAGATATAATAGAATCGGCGACAGGGAGAGAAAAAAAAATTATTGTTGTAATTTTTTTCTGGTTAAGTGATGTCTTATGTAAATTAGAGAAAACATAAATCTGTTCCATTAAAGCAAGGAAGATGATAGGAAGTGGATAAAATGAAAACTACATTTATTTAACTCGGTACTGTCTTTATTATACCGGGTGCGTCCCAAAAGTGGCTCATCCCCCATAATTTTTTTATATTTTCAAATAAAAAAACAAGATTTAGCATGTTAGTATATGACGTAAATTAGGATTGATTGACGCATTCAATTGTTTTTGGCCACTTCCTGTTTCACCGGAAATGACTTATATATAACTTTTAATTTTTAAACGGCACCCTCGGTATATTTCTACCTTATTCGATAGAAAATGACACTCTGAATAGAATGACATATAATATGTCAACTTTTGACATTTTCGCATATGGTTTAATTGTAATTGTAACACGCGGTTCATAACGACGATTTGACTCGAAATACCAAGTGTGTGGTATCAATATATTCATAAAAAAATGCTTTTTCCAAATATGCTAATGAGTCACCCTTGTTTCATTTGAAAAAATTGACATATGTATGATTAAAAATACGATTTGTACATATTTAAACGGCCTAGACAAGACACGAAACCTATTAGACGATCAAAACTTCTTTTCCAAGGTTACCTACCGGTCCGTTTCAAGACTTAAATGGATTATTTAAGTCAAATTTCTTGCAAATTTGGCACTGGCGAATCTATATTTTATATTTTTTTGAATCAGCCAAACAAGTCCAATATGTGTTCAACACTTATGAACTACTTGCTAGGAAAATGCGTTAATAAGCCATAAGATAGCGGCAACAAGCTTTACCGTACACGTGCGACACGTACTACAAGGTAATAAATGAATGAATAGGCTCCCTCGCCTCTAATCGGTGTTGTCATATTGTAAAGAACTTATCCTTGACAAAAGCAGTATCCGACTTATAATTTAGTAGTATAAGGACTATTTAATACATCTATGGAATATTAAAACCTACTTTATTAAACTGTAGTATTAATATCTCAATATATGTGTATAACAAGAAAAAAAAAATTGATAATATTAAAGACGTGACAACATAGGCTGGATGAGGAAGGCTCGGTCGACTGTACCCAGAAGTAAACATGTGTACAAAAAAGGTTGTTTGTCCGCGTTGAGATGTAAATAGTGTAGTCTCTATTTTATTTTAAGTCTATGGTCGCGACAGTAACATGCGAACATTCGCTCGGGGATTTCAATAATTTAATCCCTCTAATTTATTAAAGTTGGGGTTGGAACCTTTGCTGTTACAACAGCAAAATAAAACACTAATTTACCACAATACACCAAAACACTTTATTTTTGCACTAGACGCACATTTCGCTAACCATGTTATTATCATCAGCAGATGATTAAATCTTAGAGTTTTATGTATTGTGGTGAATTATTATTTAATTTTGCCACCTCTAATTTAGTCGACTATTACTTGTTTTATTACATCAAATTGCATTCCTTTTTCGATTTAAAAATATTATTATAAACTTTAAAAAATTGATGAATGAATTGTTTTTGAGTTATCATTGTTTTACAACAAGATTTATAGACTAAAAATATTTTCAATATGGCGGCACTTCCGGAAGTACCGGAAGTTGACAGCAACTTTCTTATTTTAAATGGGTGCCCCCATTTTTATTACATACTTATATTCTCTGTAAAATTCTATGGATATTGATGTTACACTCTATACCTAACATTACCCATTTTTGAGAAAAGAAAAAAGGTTAATTTTTAGGCTATACAAAAGAAAATTTGTATAGCCTAAAAGTCAAATTTAGCGATTACCACAGCCATTGTGACATAAAGAGAAGACATGTGGCTTTTTATTTAAAAAATTAAATTATTTAAATGTCATAATAATGGCGGTAGCTGAATTACTAACATTACATAAATCATTTTTTTCAAAGGAAACCCAATTTTTTTATTTCACTAGTGAAAAGGTTTTTCAATTCGTTACCAGTCGTTACTCTTTAACCATACATATTCCTATACCTAAAATAAATCGTTTTTAAGTTATTTAAGATTTAGTTTAAAAAGGTATATTTTTCTTCTCACTTAATGTCTAAGGAAGCTATATAAAATCTAGCTTCCTTTGACATTAAGTGTCAAATAGTCAGACAATTTATTTCCATCTGCCAGACAACGAATTATTTGAATTTCCTATATTATAAATACTGCTGCCTTAAAAGTTTAAAAAGTGTATTTAAAAAATATATCTCGTATTTTCGATCTTTAGTTATATCTAATAGTTGATATTGTTAATAATATACCGTATGATCGAAAAAAAAACAAGCGCAAAGTTGGCTTGGAAATGATGATCGAGAATATACTGATTTTTGAACAAAGTTTCACAATATGACATGGCCAGATCTATTGTTTTATATCACTTGACATTTAAAGTCATAGGCCTACTGGTTAAAATCAAGAAAAATATACGCTTTAGCTATATACTATACGCTTTTAACTAAATCTTAAATTACTTAAGAACGATTTATTTTCGGTATAGGAACATGTATAGTCAAAAAGTAACTAATTGAAAAGCCTTTTCACTCGTGAAATAAAAAAAGTGGATTTCCATTTGAAAAAAATGATTTATGATAATTTTTTAATCGCTCAGTTTCATGACAGCTGCGGCCATTATTATATGACATTCGGCCACAATTCTTTATTCTATAAAGTATTTATATTTTTTGTCCAAAAATTATAAATACCTATTTTTTTCCTCAAAAACAGTTAACGTTAGGTATAGAGTGTTTAATATCAAAATTCATAAAATTTTACTGAGAATTTAAGTATGTAAAAAATGAGGGCACCCGTTTAAAATAAGAAAGTTGCTGTCAACTTTCGGTACTTCCGGAAGTGTCGTCATATTGAAAATGTTTTTAATCGATAGATCTCGTTGTGAAACAATGATGTGCAAAATATCTCCGATCTAGATACTTATTGTAGTTCTCTAGAAACTTCTAATGCACGCTCAGCCTGGGACACCCTGTATAAATACTTGAATTTTGTCAACCATTAATAAAATGTGCATTAGAAGTATATCATTATCTAAACAGACCGGGGGCCACATTTAGCTTCGCCGCCCCGGGTCCCCGACAGGCTTAGTCCGCCACTGATTAGACGATCAAAACTATTTTTCCCAGGCTCCTTGATTAAAAATTACTGTTTTTAACACAGCCATGGCACTCTAGATTGAAATTTAAAATACTATTTTTTTTAAGGGAAAATGTCAAAAATTGACATATGATATTATATCATTCTATTGAGAGTGTCATTTTCTATCGAATAAAGTAAAAAATACCGAAGGTGCCATTTAAAACTCAAAAATTGTAGTAATTTCCGGTGAAACAGAAAGTAACCAAAATCAATTTAATACGTCAATTAATCAATGTCTATACTAACATACCAAATCTCATTTTTTTTATCTGAAAAAATAAATAAGTTAGGGGTATATATAAGGGTGAGCCACTTTCGAGACGCACCCGGTATTTTTTTTCTTACATCTTCGCTTTTATTTACTACTTGTCAAAAATAATTAAGATACGTCAATTTGACTTACATACTTCCGTAGGGTATCTGATGTTTATGTTATTAAATATCTAGTAAAATTTTGAATTATATATTTTTAGAACAATTTTAATAACTACTAACATTTTTTTTACTAAACGTAAAATAAAACATCAAATTATTGAGTGGTTACCCTACATTATATTTTTACAGGTTTTGAATAAAATTAGTACGACACTGATAAACTTGAATTGATAAACTGAAATTTAAGTCCGCCATATTAGGTCCCCATCGCGCTGGACCTAATTTTTTTTTATATGTCCCTTCCTTAATCTTTTTATTCAAAGCTGAAACTTAAAAATTACTGATTACCTAAGGTGAGGCCACAAATACCCTCGAGGAAAACTATTAATGCCATGGAAAACATACTGCCAGCATAAGGGTATTCGAATATATAAAAAACAATTATTAAGGGTGCCAGACTTTGAAACATGGAAAGTCCAATTTGAAGAATCAAATGAGAAACTATCATTTCAGTAGATTTGGCTCCTGCTATTAAAGATCTCTCCCATATTCCTAAAAATCAAAAATAATGGAGATAATATGCTCGTATATCTCATATACCGACTTATAACCAAATTTATTCTATAAAAGCGATAAGCTGTCACCCGGTATACTTTTATAAAGTGTTTTAGTTAATAATTTATTTTTTATTTCAAAGTTATTCAAATTTCATTTTTTTTTTCTTACCTTCACATTTCTCGGATAATATAATTTGAGAAGTCATAGTTACTCCAAAAAAGAACGCAATTCTGTAAAAAAATATATATTATTTTTTTTTTCTTTTTAAGAACATACTGAAGTTATGATATACAGAGTCCGGCAATAGTGTGTCGGGCATCTGGAGCTCCTACAATAAAAAAATTAGGAATTTTGTTTAACTGCAGACCTAAACTTTATATTAGGAAGTATTTCAGGAAAATATTTTAATCTGTACAGGATGGCTGTGGAAGTGTGTGTGGATCCCGATGATTTTTTTAATGGAGCACCCTATGTATTCTTGCATTTTTAGCTTTCTTTCTGATCACTTTACGTAATCCTAAAATAGTATTAAATATGTTTGATAGTTTCAGAAATATTAATAAATAAATAAAAAAAATATTGTTTTTTCATCCTTTATTATTTTTTTTAATATAAGTCCTGAAATCAAAACTATACTAGGCATTTACTATAATTGGTATGTACTTACTTTCCTATAAATATCGTAATCTTAAACCAAACAGGGTGTTCAAATTTCAATGCAAAACTTTCTAAATTATGAAATAGTTTTTCTTCGTTTTTAAATGGAACACCCTGTATATTATTCTTTTGTTAGATGGAGAATTAAAAAATGAATATTTTTGCATTTAAAGTATTTCAAAATATTTAACGGTTTTGAGGATATTATTATATGTATTACATATTGGGTTCAACAGTAATTTTTTATCAAAGTCACCTAATTTACAATTTTTACATTTTGGAATTTAGCACAGTTTAAAGAATATAAAATATATCAGTTGACCCACTCTAAGAAATTCTATTGTTATTTTGACTTCAAAGGCGGCTCGTGACCCTTCGAGGTGACAAAAAATTTGTACGTTTACCGGGTGCAGCGGAAGTGCTATTTATCAGTCAGAATGCTGGCCGTATACGGGGGATCAACTAAAAATACTAAGGAATTTTAATACAGCAAGTAGAAAAATAAAAATACAGTACTAGTTTTATTGATTAACAGTTTTAGGCGTCTTTAATAATTGATAAATATTTATTTACTTTCTTCTTATTATTATTTAATAACATATCTCATTGTTTACAAATATAAATACGATATGAACTGAAATGTGAAATAAAAAACGGATTGTAGTTAAGTACATTATCTTATAATACTAATTGATTCATGTTAATTTTACAACAAAATAATTTCAATTCAAATTTTTTAATCATGAACAGTAATTATGACTGTTAGTAGTTAATTGTGTATTGTTGTAAAACTGAAAAAAAAATTGACAATGGCAAGACAAGTTGTATCCAAGTACTTTTTATTACCTTTTATTAAAAAGGTATATAATTTAAGTTAAATGCAAACAACTAAAAAGCAAAACATGCTATAACTTAAGAAATATGCAAATATAATTTATTACAGTATTTACTACTAATTGAAGAGCACACGGAAAAAATAAGTACCAAAAAGGGGGCTACACTTTTTGGTACCTAAATAAAGGGAATATCGATAATGGCCACATAGAAACAGGCATTTAAAAATGGGAAAAACGATATAAACTCGGATATAAAAGTCCATGCGTATATTCAATTAAAAAAAAACGGTTTCCTGAACATTTATCATTTCTGGATACTCATCGTTTTGTCAACTCAATTGTTATATTTACTGTTACATAAAATTTAGTAAAAACTGTAAAAAACTTGTCAATAGCAGAAGTTGTATGCACGAATTTTTATTACCTAACGATAAAATTTGGACTTTCCAGGTAGGTAGTTAAAGTTAAATACAAACATCTAAAAAGTAAAACATGCTATTTAAAAAAATGCAAATATCTTAAATAATAATTTAATATGCACTTTGCAAACCGGTAAATACTGCAAAATCCAAAACATAATAGTAAAGTATCTACTACTACTCTAAAATATCTACTAAAATAGTAAACTAATTGTTAAAAATAAATATTTTGTGCATATTCCAAGTAAAATCTTTTCTTAATTTATATGTATATTTTTAAAACAATTTATTCATAGTTAGGTTTCCATAATTATAATATACTTAATATGTCTGATACTTTAATTATTATATTGTTACGTTTTTCGTCGGTTCCGTGTGGATAGAAAGTCACAATTTATTTAAACACTATTTATTTAACACTAATTAACAAAAACAATAACGATAAAAGACTTATAGAACTATTTACAAACGATTTATAACTAAGAATTTATTTTGAATTTTAGCGCGTCAACTGCACTGGTATATTTATAACTGCCCCTGTAGGCCACAGCCGCCGGCTTTTATATCGACAGGTAAAGAACTCTAGAATAGTCCATAGATCGTTAGGTGCGTAGAGAAGGTTTTCGAATGTTCTCGTATGTACTAGTCCATTCCAGTGGGACTCGATTCTTCTCGAACGAATGAATCATTACGGTGTCTATTCTTTAATGCGATGTTAAGGTCATCTGAGGGCGGGACATATAGTTAGGTTAGGTCGAGTCCACACGGGTCCGCAACAATATACTTAATATCCTATACTATATAAACACATACCTTCCTTCATCTTTTGGGCACCTAAAGAACAATATATTGTCTGTCATTCTACTTTCACAACCATCCACTGCACAAATATTTCTAGTAGACATTTTATTCACAATTTGAACAAAACAACTAAAACACTATTTTTGGTTCACCCTATGCGTCGGGCCGAAAACAAAACTAAAATAAACTTGGAACGCTGTGTACACGTCGAGCAACGGATGTAGACTGACCCAAGTCTACACGACAGGCGGGGAGCGGCGGGAAGAATTTTGATAGGGCGAAGAGTGGGTTAATACGGGCGAAGTGGGTTGATACGGGCGAAGAGTGGGTTACTGATATATTTTATAATCTTTAAACTGTGATTTTACCCTTGAAAGATCCATATGTAATATAAACGGGAATATTTGCGAAACCGCTAAAAATTTTGAACTACCTACTTTAAAAACAAAAAATGTTCATTTTTAGCCGACCATACCAACAAGTACGGTAGGCAATTAAGATCGGCAAAAAACAGTTTTTTTAATTTCACTCAAAATTAGTTATTTGGGTCATAAATGACCTAAATACAAAATAATATTTTCATGGTGTCTGTCTGTATGTCCGTCTGTCCGTCTGTCTGTAACACGATAACTCAAAAACCGCTAACCGATTTTAACCAAATTTGGCACAAAAATACTGTGGCACCCGTGAATCTGGTCATTAGTTTTTGGTGGGGGTGGGGATTGGTAAGGGGGTATGGGAGGGGGTTAAAAATTTTAAAAAATCGTAACTCCAAAATTACAGTAGCTAGCGAAATGCGGTTTTCAATTTAAGATTAGGAATAATATTTGCAACAAAATTTGTAATAACATCAAAATCAGTCAAAGTCGCAGTTTTTGAGATAAAAAAAAATTGGAAAAAGTCCTTTACTTTGAAACTAAAAGAACTGCCTACCAACTTTTTATTAACATATTTTAGTATGGGCGGCTATACGTGCCTCCCGGCGACAATTTTTTTAATTCTCCATCTAACAAAGAAATAATATACAGGTTGTCCAATTTAAAAAAAAAACGAAGAAAGAGAAAAAACAAAACACTCGTACGATTTAGGATTACGAAATTTATTGTAAAGTGAGTACAGATCAACTGTAGTAAATATCTAGTACTACAGTACAATTATTTTTTTTATTTATTTATTATTATCTCTGAAACTATCAAAACATATTTAATAATATCTTAGGATTATGTAAAGTGATCATAAAGAAAATCAAAAAAGCAATAATATACAGCGTTTTCCATTTAAAAAAGGCATGCCGATCCACTCACACTTTTTGATCCATCCTGTAGAAGTTAAAATATTTTCCTAAAATACATCCTAATATATACTTTAAGTCTACACTTAAGCAAAATTCCCAAGTTTTTTTATTATAGAAGCTACAGATTCCCGACACACTATTACCGGACCCTGTATGAATATTTCACCCTATACAGGGTAAAACTTATAGCTAAATAACTCGGTTATTATCAATTTATTTTAAAAATGGTAAAAAGAAAATATATTTCTTTTTACCATTCTATTCTACACCTTAAAATATCTGCACTTATTTCTGGGACACCCTGTATAGATTCAAGATGTAGACTTCGTTCTACCCTGGTAAAAAGAGTGAGTAAACAATATATATATACCTATGTAGCGGGTTTATTTCTTAAAAAAATCAATTGTCAATATTCATGGGACATAGGACAGGGTAGACTTTAACAATGCTAAAGAATAAAGTAAAAGAACTTCAAATACAAATATAATACATTTTTTGGTATTGCCAAAGAATATTTTAATACCCGTATTACCTCATGAAATCATTGTGATTATGGTAAAACATCTAGACCTTTAAATGTTACAATTAATGAACATAAATATTATTTAAAAATAGCGAATTTGGAAAATCTAACATTTGTTAGCATTCGTGGGAGTCAGCAGATAGATGGGATTATAACAGGGCAAAATACAGGGTTGTTCACCACATACGACACCGAGTATTGTAGCTAAACGATTAGATTTTTACAAATTGTTAGTTTTGGGTTCGTTGAAGGATTATTAGAGCTACAATTTAAAAATATTTTTACAACATACAGAGTGTCCCAAATAAGTAAAAAATATTATAGTTATATTTTTTTAAATGACACACCCTGTATATTATTCTATTTTTAGATTCTACGATTGAAAAAAAGGCAAATTTGATTAAAGGTTATCACACTTAAACCTTACCGTTTTTTGAAATATTTTTAATTTTATGAAATTGCAATAAAAATTTTAAGGCTTCATTTCTCCAAGGGTATCAAAGTTTTTAATTCTAAATATTTACTGAAATTTATTTATTGATCAAATATTGTGTTGCAATAATAAACAAAATACTACCTTATACAGAGTGTCTAAAAATTTATATTGAATAATTACTAGCTTTAAACGGCAATAACTTGTTTAATCTATATGGAACATCCTGTATATTTTACAAGGCAGATGTACAATTTAATTGTCTATCAAATTGTATTACACCATTATTTACCTATCCCTTCAAGTTTTCGTAGAAAATGCATTTTTTATAATTTAGACCTCATTTATCACTATACCAATGGAATATTGACATTTTAGATAATTTTTAAGGATGTAACAAATTTTCAAAGAGTACCAGATACTAATATTGTCGATATAGTTCGCTTATTTCATTAAAAAAAAAACTGTTTAAATATTTTTTTGTTAAAGAGGACGAATTAATATCATCGCAGTATTCAAACAACATTAATTGACTGTTTACGTTGATTAATAATAATTGCTCCAAATACTAAAAAACTGGATTTTGTATATGTATTAGACAGTGTATTTATAGTAAAAAGTAACACAATTTTAAATTTTATTTTATTTTTTGACAAATGCTTATTTATAAAAACAGATGATATGTTCATCTTCATAACTTATTATTATATTGATTTCTGTGTCAAATCCACATTTATTTAGAATAATTTATTAATTAAAACAATTAAATATGTAATTAACTAATTTTTGTGTGGAAATAATGGTGGTAATAAGGTAATAATTGGTATACTTTTTTAGAAAGATTTAAATAGTTTTCGTTTTGTAAACAAATGGACTTGCAATATTATTATTTTTTCCACCCGTACATTTTGTACATATACAGGGTGGTCCGAATTGAATTCCGGAAACTTCGGCAGCATATTCTACAAACTAAAATAAGTAAAAAAGTTCGTATACATGTATGTCCTAAAATGCTTAGTTTCGGAGATACAGGGTGTAGAAATTTCATTTTTATTTCGATTTTTTCCAAATAATTTAAGAAGTAACTTCAATATTTGGATGAAAATTAGTATCTGGCAGTTATTGGACATGAGAAATTTGATTTTCATGTCAATATGACTCCTACTTGTAGAGGGCGCCACCTACATATGCTTTAACTGGTTTGAAGAGTAATAACTTTTCATCCATACCTGTATAAAGCTATTGAGTAAAAAAATATACATTGACAACTTTTTCTACATAAAAAAGGTCTCTTGGTAAAAATCGCTACGAGTAATGGTTCTCGAGATATTTGAAATTGAAATTATCAATACCTGTCATCATTGACAAATTAAACATGTTGACCAAATAGTTATTAGACTGAAATCTTAAATTTGAAATCTTTTAGTGCCAAAAGTTCAATTTTTTCATCGCAGAAAAATTTATGATTAATTTAAAAAAATAAACATTTATTATTTCAGTCAAATAACTCTATTCAACGTGAGCTTATTTTTTGTCAATAATGACATGTATTGACTATTTCCATTTTAAATATCTTGAGAACGGTTGCTCGTAGCGATTTTTACCAAGAGACGTTTTTACGTAAAAAGCCATGGAAATGTATATTTTTTTAGTCAGTAGTTTTATACAGGTACTGTCGAAAAGCTATTACTCTTCAAAACAGTCAAAACGCATGTAGGTGGCGCCTCCTACAAATAGAAGTCATTTTGACATCAAAATCAAATTTCTCGTATTACGAAACTCCCAGACACCAATTTTCATCCAGATATTGACGTTACTCCAGAAATTATTTAGAAAAAATCGAAATAAAAATGAAACTTCTACACCCTGTATCTCCAAAACTAAGCATTTTAAGACATACATTTATACGAACTTTTTTACTTATTTTTATCTGCAGAATATGCTGCCGAAGTTTCCGGAATACAGTTCGGACCATCCTGTATATGTTGCTTTAAAAAATCTAAAATGTCAATATTCCATGGGTATAGTGATAAAATAAATTATAAGAGAATGCATTTTCTACGAAAACTTGAAGAGATAGGTAAAACATGGTATAATACGATTTGATATACAATTAAATTGTGCATCTGATTCACGTAAAATATACGGGATGTCTCATTTAAATAAAACAAGTTATTGCCTTTTAAAGCTAGTAATGGCAACACAATATCTGATCAATAAATAATCTTCGGTAAATATTTAGTATTAAAAACTTTGATAACCGTGGAGAAATGAAGCCTTAAAATTTTTACTACAATTTTACAAAATTGAAAATATTTCAAAAGCGGTAAGGTTTAAGTGTGATAAACCTTAATCAAATTTACCTTTATTTCAATCGTAGAATCTAAAAATAGAATAATATACAGGATGTTCCATTTAAAAAATACAACTACTATAATATTTTTGACTTTTTAGGACTCGGAATTAGGACACTCTGTATCTTGTAAAAATATTTTTAAATTGTAGCTCTAATAATCCTTTAACGAACCCAAAACTTACAATTTGTAAAAATCTAATCGTTTAGTTACAATACTCCGTGACGTATGTGGTGAACAACCCTGTATATTATGAAAAGAATAATCCAATTAATAACGTTTTTAATCCAATTTCATAGGCTTTGGTAGGGTGCGTAGAACCAGCTGCGTAGGTTCTACGCATTTATATACAAAAAATAACATTTTTATTCTTTAGATATCTCTTTCGGTGGCGAAAATTTGACTTTTTTAAGAAATGAACCCTAGAGACATTACACAGGCCGACATGATTTTTGTAACACGAGTCAGTTGCAGAATTTCTTCATAAAAATATGCTTCTAATAACAGAAAAAATACTCCTGAAGCTCCTACACGTACCACTTTTCAGTTGCCTAATTACGCCTCTTTTTTGCAGGTAGTCAATTTTATAGATGTCAGGTATTAAGTCTAGGTAGATTCGTTTACATACAGGTAAATTTTATGATGGGATGATTGAAAGGGACGCATTTTGTGCACTATAATATATTGTGAAAAACATAAGAGAGTTCAGTTTTCAGTTGATTTTCGACGTGAGTTGTTCTATGCGTGTAGATAAATAGTACGAAAATGTCAAGTCAAACGCGCCGCAGTTGTAAAGTGTCTCCTGGTCGATTTTGTTACATTTGTGGAGAATTTATGGTGCAATCACAAGCCAGACCATTTTCTGAAAATGTGAAGAAAGCCTACTTCAAGTATTTTGGAGTTTTGGTTGGAGATCAAGACAAGCAGTGGGCTCCTCATGTGTGCTGCGTTACTTGTAGCGTGTCGCTTGTGCAGTGGATGAAAGGGAAGAGGAAAAAATGCCATTTGCGGTTCCAATGGTATGGCGAGAACCAACTAACCATTTTGACGATTGCTATTTTTGCCTGACGAAAACTGAAGGTTTTTCCAAAAACAAAAGCACAAGATCGAGTATCCCAATTTGCCGTCTGCCATACGACCTGTTCTTCATGGTGCAGATCTCCCAGTGCCGATCGCGCCCTTAGACTGGCAAGGTATTGTTTTGGAAGATAAGGAAGATATTGAATCAAACAGCTCTGGAGACCAGTGTACTGATCCTACCTTTACCCCAGAGGGCGGTTCCGACAAGCCACATTTGATTGTTCAAAGCGAGTTGAATGACTTAGTGCGTGACTTGGGGTTATCAAAGCAGCAGTCAGAACTTCTTGGATCCCGGCTTAAGGAATGGAATCTGTTAGCCAATGAAACAAAAAATCACCACTTTTAGAAAAAGAAATGCTCCGTTCTCTGCATTCTACAGTATGGAGGATTCGTTGTGTGCATGTACTGATATCGATGGCTTAATGCAGGAACTTTCTATAGAACATTCTCCCTGTGAGTGGCGCTTATTCATAGATTCGTCGAAATATAGCCTAAAAGCTGTGTTATTGCATAACGGAAATTTAAAACCCTCTATACCAGTTCCATTCAGTGACAATGAAGGAAACTTATGAAAATATGCGCATGCTTTTAGATAGAATCAACTACAACAGGTATAAATGGCAGATATGTGGGGACTTGAAAGTTATAGGAATTTTAGTGGGACTTCAGGGAGGATTTACAAAATATTGCTGTTTTCTTTGTTTGTGGGACAGTCGTGCAGTAAATCATCATTATGTACAGAAAATTTGGCCAGAAAGAAGTGAATTTCAACCGGGTTCCCAAAATGTCAAGTATATCCCTCTTGTAGACCCCAAAGACGTCCTCCTGCCTCCTCTTCATATCAAACTTGGCCTCATGAAAAACTTCGTGAAAGCTATGAATAAAGAAGGTGATGGATTTAAATACCTAAGGCAAGTCTTTCCCCAGTTGAGTGATGCCAAATTGAAAGAGGGTATTTTTATTGGACCACAAATCAGGAAATTGTTGGACGACACAAATTTCACAGACACGCTTACCAGGCAGGAACTCAGAGCATGGACCTCATTTGTTAGTGTAGTGAGGGGATTTTGGGAAACAATAAGGATGCGAACTACGAACAATTGGTTAATGAGCTTTTAGATGCTTATAAATCGCTTGGTGCCCGAATGTCTTTAAAAATTCACTTTCTCCATTCTCATTTGTCATTTTTCCCTGAAAATATGGGTGCTGTCAGTGATGAGCAAGGTGAGAGATTCCATCAAGACATAAGGACAATGGAAATTCGTTATCAAGGACGATGGGATCCAGCCATGATGGGTGATTACTGTTGGTTTTTGAAGAGAGAAGACGCGGTCCCTCATAAAAGGAAAAGTAAAAGTTTTGTTTATGTTTTGATCTCGTTTCGATTGTTTTTTTGTACTTTTTTAGGTATAAGTAATGTTTGAGGAGTGTAAACTATAAAATATAATCGGTATATAGGCTTAAGAAGTTCTTAAATCATGTTTTGAATAGCTATCTTAATATATTGAATATTGTAATATTGAATGATGTTTTATTAATGTAACAAAAAAACCTTACGTGTTACGACTTTTTTTTTGCCACTTTCGTGATTAGATAGGTTCATTCTACCACAATATCCTATTGAGCTTTGTGTTACATCGAAAAATTTTTTTTTTGTCGGCCTGTGTTATTTGCAATTGCACTGTATACTTACGATACTACCATTCCGGGCAACATAAAGATAAAAAATGGTTCATCATTTTTTCCATATAAGTATTGTTCTCGAAAGGGCAATTTAGCTAATCTCCTATCCCTTCCGCATTCTATATATAGATCCTCTTGAAATTTTAAAAATTGATCGATGAGTTTATATTTTACACTACCCCCAGTTTCCCTGTTGGATAGATCCAAGTAAACTACAATTGTGCTCTTATTTATTACAGAGTCAGAGATTTCCGCATTTATCTGAAACAAATGTTTTCAATACAGATAATATTCATAGAATTTTTTTGAAAATCTGGATTTTTACATCTGTCATTTTTTATTTTCAGTGTCACAGTTTTGCGGTTTCATATTCAAAGTAATAGCATCTTTGTTATTTTAAATGGAACACCCCGCATTTATAACATTTTTGGAATCTAATTTTTCTATTATACTATCCTATACTCTATACTTATCTTTAATAGCTTTCGAGATAAAAAATGAAATATGTGCAAAATTGACACGAAACATGAAGGGTAAGGGGAAATAAGCAGATAAGTCCTCTTCAAACTGAGAAAAGCACGATTTAATGTTCAAAGCGGAAATTGGCAGCAGGCCTGGAAATAGTAACAGAGATTTGTTAGAACTAGGTAAGGTATTTAAAAATAGGTAATAAAAGTATTTTTTAACAGATAAAATACCATAATATTTAAGTATTGTTTGGTATTGTAAAGGTGTAGGTGGCGCCATCTGTCAGAGAAGCGAGAACAGAGATATGGAAGTGGGAGAATGAGCTTCGACGAGTGCGCATCCAAATTTTTGTCGACGGCAAGATGGCAGACATCTTCCAGGTCTCGCTGTCACTTCCCCTCTTTAATTGACATCTGTTTGTTTTGTTTTGTTTTTCGTTTGTGTTGTTATCTAGTTAAAATTTATTATTATCTCAATTATTCTAAACACTAATTCAAAAAGGTTGTATATTCATAGTCATTCTAAGAAAGCTAATACGCCGGGAATAATGATTAGTTTTCATGTGTAAGTTTATACAACATAATCGTGTTTACAGATGATTCAAAACTGTTTATTTTTAGTTTTCCTAAAGGCGATTTGTAAAAATCGTGATTGTAATTGGGAATGGTCAAAAATAAGTGTATGATGTGGCCATTTAAAGAGGATGTTTTTATTACGTGTGGAGGAAGAAGATACTTGGAATCAGTGTTCGTGCTTCTGTAAAACAGTGCACTCTTATAGTGTCCATGAAAGCACAAGTTCAAGTGTACCAGAAATATATCAAATAAGATTGGTCCTTACTTGACAAGAAGATTATTTGGAGGAAAAGAAAACATAAGATAGGGTATTTTAATCGAACAGCGAAAATTTAACACTTTTATTGTAAAGTTTGTTGTAGGTAGTTGTAGTTTTGTGCTAAATATTTCTAACATTAGCAGCAGCCGTGTTCAGAGTGTCAAGAGGAGGAGAATTCAGTTAATTAGATTTATGCACAGTTACAGGTATGAAGGCTTTTTCAAACATAGTATCGAGTTCTATAGTCAACATTTTTAGTATTCCTACAACTGTAAAAACAAAGAAACATTGGACTGAAAAAATGGCAAGATTTATATAGGAAGAAAGGGTATTATGCCAATAAGAAAATTAAGTCTGTAGGCAGAAGTTTCTTATTTAAAACTGTTATGGGGCATATATTAATTTGTATCTGTGCCACAAATCACTGAGAAAAATCATATAATATTCATAATTGTTAACGAGATGATATTTAAAGAGTGTTAAAAATGAGATTATTAGTCATGAAGCTTACAATGTTACTTTGTTTCAATATTACACTTTTATTCTTGTAAAATCTATGATGAAGCTCAAAAGCATTTTGCTGGGGGATTGTCAATCCCACGTTTTTAAATAGATAAAATACAGGCCAAAGTTGACAATATTACAGTTGAGAAGAAACTATTTTATCTTAAAAAAAAATTCTTAAAATTCTGAGATCATATAATCTAATTTTCTTAATAATAAATTAGGTATATGTATGTTGTACATACAGAATTTTGGTATGGACAAATAAGGATCAACAAGCTTCTTTTGTGCAAAAAATAAATTATTTTTTGTAGTATTAAGACAAACGATAATATGTTTTACAAACTTACCGGTAACAGTTTTTTATAATAAAAAATATTTAGGAATAATTTGGGTTGTTTATCAATATATTAATGACTTGAATTTTGACAAATTGAATTTGTATCAAAATAATTTTACGAAATATAAAATTGAAGTTGTATTACAAGACTGAGTTTTTTTTGTCGACAAAAACCACGATAAATACTAATAATAATACCCATAATAAAATCAATGATGTTTATGTATTATGAAAATATTTGTTAGAGGACATGTTATGTAACAGTTTTTGTAACACAATTTGAAGGGACGAATAAAAAAAATAAAACAAAAACATATTTTTTCTCGGTTTATATTAAAAATACAAAGTAAGTAACCATCAAAAATAATTATGAACCAAATGTTTTTTATGAATATACAACTTGAACAAAAAGTTGTTTAGAACAATTTTTACCAAATTTGCAAAAATTTTAAATTGAAACCCGTAATTCTGTACAAGTAAACATGAAATAATTGTAAATACTTATTTAATGGCATTCGAGTGTTTAACGACGAAAAGGTCATCTGTCCGTAGCGTCTTTTGTCAGAATATTCGTATATTTAGTGTATTATATACCAATATTGTACGCAGTTTTGAAACTGATAATTAAATAAATCATATTAATGTTAACTAACCATAATAAATGATAGAATTTCACTAAATTTAAATTGCCCCCCGTATGGTTGAAAACAGCAAATTGGTATTTGATTACTTATAGATTACCACCTATATACAAAATGACACGAAGACCTGGAATATGGCGCCCAACTTGATTAGACCTTCTGCGCATGTTGAAGCTCATTCTCTATCCCTTCTATTTCTCTGAGCGAGAATCTAAACCGCAACGTGCATTGCTGGTTGAGGGCTATCTGAGAACATTGTTGAGGCGCCATCTTCTAACCAAGTAGAAAAGTAAGCGAATCAGGCGCCAGAATTTGCTAGTAGGAGGCAAAATGTACCGATAATTTTAGAAGGTTTCAGAAAAAGCCGGAATAGTATATAAAGGTCCGCGATCGGCAGTTGAGCCAGTTTGAAATTTGAAAATACACCGTTTTAAATTGTGAATCGTCACAATTTGGCGAAGGATTTTATAAATAATTAACTGTGTGTTGTAATCAGTATAAATTGTGTGGTATATAGTGAGAAAATAAACTCGTTAAGTATTTAATCGTGATTTTAAATTAGTGGACCCACGGAATCCGTAACAATTGGTGTCTGAAGATGGAGTTATCGAAGAATCATCGAGTCCATGGTCATCTCCTGTTGATTTGGTGACGAAGAAAGATGGTAGTACACAATTCTGCGTGGACTACAGGAAGCTCAATGACGTTATAGCTACCCACTGCCACGTATAGACGACACGTTAACCACACTGGCAGGTTTGTGCTGGTTCTCCACTCTCGACTTAAAGAGTGGATACTGGCAAGTTCGCAGTAGTATAACTTCAAATGTGAGGCCCCCCGATTTTTTGGGGCCCTTATATTAAAATAAAAAAAACACTAAAAAACATAATATAGCTTTATGTAGGTATATCAAGTCATTTAAAATATAAAAACAAAAAATAGACTTATTCCACATAAGAAAAAATAATAATAAAGGAACATAAAAAATAAAACATTACAAAATAAATCAACATAAAAAACTTAGGTACTAAAAGAAAACTAAATAATAAAAATAAATAAACATAAATAGACTTTTTCTAATAAAAATATGATTCAAATTAAAATAAATTAATAGGAACAAATAAAATGTAAAAAAGGATCAAATAAAAATAAGGATTGAAAATAAGGTAAAAAGTTTAAACAAAATTTTTTCTCCTTGCTTTAAAATTGGCAAAGGCGTTAATCAAGTTCGGCGCTGGCGACGGTAACAGGTGGAGTTAAAAGTAAAACTATTACCGCAATAACTTCCGTAAAACTGGAACTCAGATCTGAATTTTTAACTATAATTAACTCTAACAAATCTCTAATATTATCTAATTTAGGAAATTCAGATTGAAAGGTTTTCTTAAGTCAAATTTAATAATGCATGATTAAATTAACTTGGCTAAAAAATATGTGTTTTAAAAAACACATAAAATTAAAACATACTACATTATTAAGGTGTACGCGCACTGAATCGGTACCAGTCCGGCGAAGGCGGTACTCGACGGTGACCTATGTAGATAGGTAGAGGTAGGAATCTGGCCTCTACAGGCCGAAATGTTTTAGTGGACGCCGGCGCCGTCTATATGTACGATGGTCGCAGCATAAAATAATTAACTAGAAAGAAGTGTCAACTCTGTGTTAAATCGTGGAAACACGATACGCCACCGAAAGCCTTCGTTGTCGTCTGGAGAACTAATTCACAAGAATAGATATCAACCAGAAGCCTAACTTAGAGTTTGCGCGGGAAACATCGCCTAACCTAAAAATAGCGGTAGAACTTGTCAACGCACTGGCGTTCGCAGTTCACTTATGTTTTGCGTTTTGCTGAGAGCAGTAGCTGTTCGTCATTCGTAAATATTGAATATTGTAGTTTGTGTTGTTTTATAACTGAACGGAGCGAATAGTCTGGAATAGTTATTAAATATTTGTTGTGCTAGGTACATTATTTATAATAACTTCAAAGAGTACTGGTTCAGTTTGTGCCTCAAGAATGTGCAAAAGCCGGAATTATGTTTCGCCAGGACTCAAAATGTTTTACGATACGTTTGTGGATATTTAATAAAAAAATGTTTGAGTATACATTCATGAGATATATGTACCAAATATGCAAAGGCACACAGTGAGTTAGATGATACATCGTTGTTTTGCCATTTACGTGCCTATGAAAATAATAAAGAGTGAAAATAATAATTTAGATATTTTTGGAAATCTTCAGATGTCACATGACAATTTTGTATCTTTTGTTTCTTCATTAGAACTTGTTTTTAGTAAATATTATGAAGAATATGGGACAAGACATTTTATTAAAGAAATATATATAATATGCAAACAAATTAATTTCAAACATCCATGTACTAGTTTTCCCCTAAAATATGTAACTAAATTATATCTGCTTATGAAATTGTATTATACATTAAAAAAGATAAACCTTAATTTTAAAACAGCCAATAAAAACAAACTAATTATATGGAAGCATGAATAAATACCTAAGTATTTTGGCTAGCGATTCTGTTAACATATTTTCTGTCTAGTGACTCATCAATCGTATACAAATAGCATAGGCTAGAAAGGAGCTAGGAAATTTCTTGCTACGGAGCTTACAGAATCCCACCGCTGATGTTAGCTTGTTTATTTATTTCGTTTGAAACTTAAATGAACACCTACCCTATCTTTAGAGGATGTTTTAAAACGGGCCAATTGAAGGTAAGTATCTCAAGTGTCCTTATAAAAAACCCAAAGTTTTAAATTTCAAGCAAATCTCTTCTTATATTAAAAAATCCGCCATATTGGATCCGCTAATTTGATTTTTTTTCTTCAAAAATATTATAAAAGTGTCACCGGAACTCAATACGTGTGCAACATTTCGGAAAAATTGGGATAATAGAAGTGATCAATAAAGCTGCTGCCAGATTTGCAACAAACAAAGGTATGGTAAAGTTAAATAAAATCGTTTAAAAATATAAACTATTTTTATACCGCGATATCTCTAATGGTTTACTAATGCAGTGTTTTTTATCGCTGGCAATAAGTTTTACATTAAAAATATTACTCCATAAAATATGTTGGGACATTTGTACTAAACCAATATTACAGCATCTTAAACAAATTAGCCTTTACTTTTAACTTTAACAAACTCACCTATTAAAGTTTTAAGCAGTAGTTTTATTAACTGCCGAATGATATTAATTAATTCTATACTTTTAAATTTGCAATAAAAAAATAAAGACGACTCTGTATACATTCAACGGAAATGTATTAAATACGTCTCTGTGTTCTACCGCTATTAAATGGCGGCCCAATTCGTGAAACGTCACGGATTTCAGCTCCAGTTAGGTTTCTGGTTGATATCTATTCTGTGACTAATTTTCCAATTGACAGGTTGACATGATAAGAACATGATGGCTTAATTTTCATTTCCGTTTCCGGTTATTCAATGGCGGGCCCTCTTTCAGTTCAAATGTATTTTGTATTTTTTCTTTTCATAAATAAAACCAAAAAATAATTTATTCACATATATTTATTTGAAATATGGAACAACGTGACTAAATAAACATAAAAATATAGAGGATTGTATTGTTTCAATACCAATTAGTTAATTATATGTACTTTTAACGTAAATTAGTTAAGGTATAAGCATGACTTACAGTAATTTGTAAATAAACACACGTATTCGCAGACTTCAAGGACAGAAAACGGACACAGGGACATGAAAACGGGAGCCTTATACAAAAACCTGAAAACAGAAAAACAAATTTTTTTATACTAAAATTAACAATCTAAAAATATCAATAGGTATAAAATATAAATATACTGTTTAAAAAAGCGTCCATTATTCCCAAAGAGACCTGGCTTATAAATCAAAAAGAAGCAAAAAGAGACTTTTAGTCGGATAACATAATCAGATTATCAGTCCGATTTATTGCATTATTGACAATAAATCGCACATATTGGAGATAAATGATGTTGGCTATAGTTAAAAATGATCTTACCTTGCTGTAAATTGTTTCCATTTTCAAAAAAATCGCCGATCAAAGAGATTATAACACCATTTTCTTGCATCTAAAAAATGTAAAAACAGTGTTTATTTACTACCTATTTTTCATATACATGGGACATACCTACTACTGCAGAAACGTCATTTTCTCCAGGATTCTTCATGTAATATATATTTTATATACTTTATTACCTTTATATTTATAACTTTCAGCCGAAATATTAAATTGTACTTCCAAAACGAAACTAAACGGAATGAATTAAAATGGCGTCGAATATTTTCGAATTTGTTCTAGAACAAATCTGAAGTTGTCTCTGAAACTGAAATCTGTCAATTCTAAACTGTGAAGTTAGACAATAGTTAGACAAAAACAATGCTGTCCTTGTCTAGGCGGCCATACTTGTCGTGAGGAGAATGACAAGAATGACACAAATGACTGTTTCCAATTTTCCTATTTCACTGTCACCCCCCTGGGTCGCAGTCGCTTTTGCTGGTCGGTCCGATCCGATGCAGTGCGCGCGGAGCCTTAGGGTAACAATGTAGCTTAAAAATTAAATCAAGTCCAAAATATTTTTCATTTTTTGGGGCCTACGCTACACGGTACTGGGTAAGTTGATCTGAACGAGGACGATAAAGAAAAGACGGTTTTTTCTACAGGAAGCGGCCTATACCAATTCAAGGTCATGCCGTTTGGATTATGCAATGCTCCAGCCACTTTCGACCGTCTCATGAAAGTAGTGTTAAGAAGATTAACTTGGAAAACGTGCCTGGTTTACCTTGACGATTGGTTATGGGAAGAACTTTTGAGGGGCATTTGCAAAATTTAGAAGAAGTCTTCAGCCGCATACGGAATGCTCACCTGTACTTGAATCCGAAGAAGTGTAGCTTATTCCATCAACAAGTGGAATACTTGGGCCATGTAGTCTCAGCAGACGGAATTTACACCGACCAGAAGAAAATCGCTGCAATCAAGGATTGGTCTAAACCTCGCGACAAGCATGAATTTAGAAGTTTTCTGGGTTTATGCACATATTACAGAAGATCTGTCAAGGGATTTGCCAATATAGCTGCACCCTTACATAGGCTTACAGGTGATGAAGTCGGCTACGAATGGAACACCGATTGTGATGTAGCCCTTGGAAGACTTAAGGCGGTTCAAGTCCTATTCTAGCCTACCCGCAACAACAAGGGAGATATATCCTGGACACAGATGCCAGCAACATCGGAATAGCTGCAGTGCTATCACAAGTCAAAGATGGCGAAGAACGAGTGATAGAATATTACAGTCGAGTTCTATCCAAACCAGAAAGGAATTACTCCATAAATATCAGGATCATTTCCATAAATATCTGTATGGCCAAGAATTTTTAATTAGGACAGATCATATGGCTCTCAAGTGGCATATGGAGATGAAACAACCTGAAGGTCAAAAAGCACGATGGCTGGAGAAGCTCCAGCAGTATCACTTTACCATCCAACATCGTGCTGAAAAAATGCATGGCAACGCAGACGGTTTATCGAGAAGACCCTGTCAAACCGATTGTCAGCATTGCTGCTACTTTTTCTATTCAGCTTACCCTTTTTTCATAATATCTTGAAAAATTTTGTCTGATATGCATTGTACCAATAATTTCTCCATGTTGTACATCTGTGATAGCAGCGTTTATTGAGTTGTAATAAACCTAAAAATATATTGAAGATTGATTGACTATAGTCAGATTATAGTTTTCATCATTAGGTAATGATGTATTATAACGGTAACATAATGATGTTACCTTATTTATCAATGGAATCTCCAAATATTCTAAGAATCTGCAACTTAGTATACCAACGTAGCAATCCAATGAATCTAAATTTGATATTACTGTAGAATTGATATTAGAATATTCACAGTATTGTCCAGGTAATTCATCATTTACTATTCCAAATTTTAAATCTCTAATCTCACCACCTATTCCATATTTGAAAAACACTGTTTGTGTACTCGGCAAAATCATAAAGAGTAGAACACTTCTAAAATGCAAATAATAATTATATTATAAAATCCTTAAGTGTCTGACTCACTGATTAATCACGATCCTGCTCAAACTACTCAACGTAAGAAGCTCAATTTTGGCATACAGGTTAATTCTAGGGTGTAGAGGTTCGATAAGAAGGGATTTTTCGAAATTCCAGTTCCAAGAGGGTGAAACCACCCCTCAAATATTACAATATTTTTTATTTAAAAAACGGTCAAGTTTCCGAAAAAACGCTTAAACACGTATATTTTATTTTGTTTTTTACATATTTTAAGATTTTTTAAAAATGTATACAGGGTATTTCGAAAAATCTGTTCATTGATTAATCTCGATCCTGCTTAAGCGCTTGACGTAAAAAGCTGATTTTTGGAAAACGGATTGACTTTAGGGTGTAGAGGTTCGATAAGAAGGGATTTCTTGAAACTCGAATTCTAAGGAGGTGAAACCACCCCTCAAATATTAGAATATTTTTTATTTAAAAACCGGTGAGTTTTTCGGAAAAACTCTTAAACACGTATATTTTTATTTTATTTTATTGTTTTACATATTTTAAGATTTTTTAAAAATGTATACAGGGTGTTTCATAAAATATGACCATCGAGTAATTACGATTCTGCTTAAACTGCTTGACGTTTAAAACTGATTTTTGGTAAACGGATTGACTGTGGGGTGTAGAGGTTCGATAAGGAGAGGTTTCTCGAATCTCAAATTCCAAGAGGGTGAAAACGCCCCTCAAATATTACAATATTTATTATTTAAAAAACGGTTAGTCTTTCGGGAAAACGCTTGGACACGCATAATTTATTTTGTTTTTTTACATATTTTGATTTTTTTTTTAAAAATCATACGGGTTGTTCCAAAAAGTTGGGTAATTGATAAACCACGATTCTTCTTAAACTGCTGGACGTAAAAAGCTTATTTTTGGCAAATGGATTTTTCGAAAGACAAATTCCAACGAGATGAAACTACCCCTCAAATATTACCAAGTTATAAAATAATATCGCCATATTGTTTTTTCTCATGCTAAGATAAATATGAGAAAATTTTATCCAGTTTGTATGTTAATGGAAATCCTTGCTTTGCTTTATCATCGCCATTACAAATGATTAATTCGATGCGAACGAAGTCGCGGGTACGCGCTAGTGTGGTTATAAGGCGCTCTTTTTTGTTGGCCTTGTCTACTATTTTCCAAGGACAAAAAATGTGTGGAATACTACCGGGTACAATGATTTATGATGAGCATTGAAAGTTCATTACTAGAGAGTATGCGTTCTTCTCCTTTATTTGAAAAAAGTGCATTTAGTTTTTTTTTAAATTGGTTTGATTATTTTTTTAACCTGTTACATTTTCTGTATATTTTATTTTTGTAACTTCAAAATTAAATACTTTAATAAAAAAAAGAAAAAACTTTATTGTGTTGGTAAAATGTTAACTACAGTTACTTATTACATCCTCTTGTATTGACGCGTATACCCATATCTTTCCAACACATTGTCTCTTATGGGAATATTCTTTATTACACATTTTTTGGGTAAATTTGCTACACTTAGACATAAAATATTATTTTAAGTCTATTGTACATTGTACATCATACATGTGTTATAAACTTTACATTTACCTTGTAGATTGTGAAAATTATTATATTCGCATTTTTTGTTGATTTTTATTATAAACAGATTAATTATATTTTAATAAATTATCAATTTACCCCAGCAGATCAAATATAAATAGCAAAGGCAGAGAAAAGGTACAAAAATATAAAAGGCATTAGTAAAAATGAATATTAAAATACTTACAACCAGCTTCTATAAAATTGTTTAAAGTTTTTATCCATTAAGGCACGTAATCTCCTTATATTAAAACGGTTCCTCGTTCTCTCATTAGATGATTCTAGCTGCAATTATATTTAAATATACGTATAATTACATATCGTCAGTGAAACGTGATAACCTGCTAACTCCATTTTTTACGTTAATAAGTTTTTTTATACCATTAGAAAGAGAAAAAAATACTCTATAAGTAGGGAAAGCAAATACATTTTTTCCCATTAAAGAAAATTTGCTATTTTAAATCAATAATATCTGCTAACTCCCAGTGATCTGAAATAGCTACCGAAATGCTGCAATCTCCGTAATTTCCGTTACGATCACGCTAAAGCAAACACACGGATTCTTACTCGTATGTTTCTTTAATACAGTACGTCGATCCAGGGTCGCACTAGGCCAAAGGGGCCCGTGTGGCAATGTAAGGAGGGGCCCGTGTGGATTTTTTGCGTATTTTTTCGGCTTACATTTTGGTCAATTTTTTCCTATTATATACAGGGTGAGTCATAAATAAGTGCAAATCTTTTTAGGGGTAGTATATTTCGACCCAAGAAACACGATTATGAGGTTTTCTGCGCGAATTTTTTTTTTTTTTAAATTTGGAATTTTTTAAAAAAAAAATTTGGAAATTTTTTTAATGTTTAGTTTAAAAACATACTTTGTTTGTAATACGACATCATAGGTAGTAGATTAAATTTACAAGTAAGAAAATTCTCAAACTTATACCAAAAAATTGGAAATTTTAAAAGTGAAATAACTCGGTTGTTTTGGATTTATTTAAAAAAAACGGTAAAGAGAAAATATTATGTTTCTTTTATCGATATTTACCAGCCCTGAAAATATTTGCACTTATTTAAGACTCATCCTGTATAGAAATCAGAGAACTACCCTAATGCAGGTAAACCAATGCAATGCAAATGCCATAATGCAATGCAAAAGTAAATATTGTTAAGAATAAATAATGAACTATAAAGAGGGCCCGCGAAGGCTGGTGCCGCCCTAATAGTTATATCCTTGTTATATATATAATATGGCCAGTCCGACCCTGCGTCGATCCGTTCTGTAAATACGGGGTATCCGTAAAGGGTAAGGGGAAAAACGAAATTCTCTATATACGAGCAATTCATCAGCGTGTTATAAATTGCTTAAATAACATTAGTTACTTGTACAAGAATTTCCATAATACCTAATAAGTTTAATTTTTTTTCAACTTTTTTCCACGTAAATGATACATACCTAATCTTTATAAAAATTAAAAAAATAAGGAGAAAAGTAATAAAAATTTAATAAAATGACGCTGTTTTCATCCTATAATGACCGCACTGTTTTCCAAGCTCGGTCTACTACCGTTGTAAAAAAAATTAGGATAAGCATGGAAGGATTCTACCATATCTTCTAAGACTTATAAGTTTAATTTTTAAATTATTTTCATATTCATTAAGTCCAAAATGCTGTTACTTCAGTTCTTTAAAAATGCATTTAAAATTTATTCGTTTTTGGACTTTGTATATTTTGCTTCTAGACCGACGATATTATAAATATATGGTTATGAATATCATATTTTTTAAATTTAATTGATTATTTCTAAAGCTGTTTGGGTAATATTCAATTCCATTTTCAAAATTTCAAACAATAAAGGTTGCTATCTCCAAAAGTATATTTTTATTTCTTATTTCTGCAAGACGAATATCTGCTATCTCCCTATTGTGGCTGAAAAAAATGATGTAACACGAAATATTGAGTTTTATTGTTCCCCAGCAAATAAAATCCTTATTTTTTTTTCATATTAACCAATGAAAATACTTCCTACATGTGCACATATTTTTTTGTACCGTTTTTTTGCTCTCCTGTAAAATTAGGAATAATGGAGTTAGCAGTTTATCACATTTCACCGACGATATTATTTAATATAAAACCATAACATAGATTTACACAAAAAATATTACAAACAAATTCATGAATACAGATCTACAACAAGTCAGTTTTAAAAAGACTTCTAAAAGTTTTAAAAAGTCATTTCTAAAATCAAAATTATTTATGTCTTAAGTCAAATTCATCATAAAGTTCAAATGATTTAAGTCTTTGACTTTTATTATTTCAAGATAATACCATAATAGATAAGAAAAGGTTGCAGCAGTGGCGGCTCGTCAGGGTAGGCAAGATAGGCGGCGCCTACCCTAAAATTTTGATTTAGCAAACATAAAATGTTATTGACCAACATAAATTACTGAATAAATTGCAGGTATTAATAATAGATATGATAATTTCGATTATAAACTAATTTAAGGAGAATAATCCTGGAAATATATTTCCAGAGGTTTTCAAATTGTTGGTTTTGATTGTTACTACACCATTTACAAGTACTTGGGTTGAAAGACATTTTTCATGTTTGAAATGCATTAAAATTTATAGTAGAGATTCCATGAAAAATAAGCGTTTATCGCCACTTTCCTTACTTTCAGTCTAAAAAGATCTTTTCACAGCTCTTCAACAATCTGATGATTTTACTGATATAATATTGTTACGGATTCCGTGGGTCCACTATTTAAACTCACTTGACAATATTAAATAACTTTTCTTTATCAAGAGACCGACTCATCAATTTAATATATAAAGTATAATTATTCTTTTTCTCAATACTACCAATTTTTTAAGTTTACATAAATAAATAAAATAAAATTCTATGATGTACTCCATAGTAAGTCCATAGTAATAGATAAACAAACATATATACTTACATTATGTCAATCATTATGTCATTACGTTGAATGCTGTCACTTTTGCTTTAGTTTTGTCCTAAATATTCTTGAGCTATGTTTTTAACCCAGAGATAACATATATATTTACGAACTGGGTTAGGGTACTATGAAAATTTAGGAGGGGGGAGGGGCAGATAGACGCAACTAAAATTTTGTCGCCTACCCAGTCACAGGAATCACGAGCCGCCACTGAGTTGCATCGGAATAGGCTGAGAGCTACCTCAAAAACCTAATTTTTTACAAATCTCTTTACAAAACTCTACAAATTTGAAGACTGACTAACATTAAAATTAGTATAATAAAAATAAGCTATACTAAAAATTTAGAAGCTAATGTAATTTTACCTGAACCGGTTGATTAATATTACTTTCCAAGTTTTCCACCTTAGTTATAGGAAAATCTGATAATTCGATTTTTTCCATACTGTCACTTTCTGTTAACTGGTGTAAAGTACGTTCATCTTGTTCACGTGATAACATTAAGTACGCTTCTTCCAAAGTGTTTGTTTGGTATTTATGCATTAAAGCCGATGGAGAATTCTCAGCTAACAGTTTTCCATTACGTACAAGTCCAACCTAATAATTATACATACAATGTTATAACAAAGTTGTTGTGTTAGGTTTATTCCGAAACAGTGTCCAAAAAAATTGTGTACGCATTTAAAGCTCCCTCTGTAATTTGTGAAAAGAAGAATGGAGTAACAATCTCAATTAGAACATCTGGTATAGAGCTTTTAGGAAATATAGTGCCACACTGTAGACTGTAGATACATGATCTGAACATGACTTTAGAGTTCGGATACACAGAGTATTTTTAGCGAATTACTTTTGAAATATTTAAGATAACCGCTTCATTTATCGTTATTTTTGGTTTAAACAGAGATTTTTCCGAAAATATAGAACAAACTTAAAATAATTTAAATAATATTTATTATAATGCTTATATATACCGGGTGCGTCTCGAAAGTGGCTCGCCCCTATAACTTTTCTATTTTTTTAGATAATAAAAAGGAGATTTGGTATGTTAGTATGTGACATAAATTAGGATTGATTGACGTATTCAGTTGTTTTTGGTCACTTCCTGTTTCAAAGGAAATGACTACAACTTTCGATTTTTAAATGACATTTTTTACTTTATTCGATAGAAAATGATACTCTAAATAGAATGACATATCATATGTCAACTTTTGACATTTTCGCTTAAAAAAATCGTATTTTAAATTTCAATCTAGAGTGCCATAAATGTGTTAAAAACACTAATTTTTAATCATGCAAGGAGCCTTGGAAAAATATATTTGATCGTCTAACGTTTTACGTGTCTTGTCCTGGCCGGTTAATATATGCTCAAATAGTATTTTTAATCATATCTCAGTTTTTTCAACTGGAACAAGGGTGGCATATTGGGAAAAAGCATTGTTCTACGAATAATTTGGTACCACATACTTAGGATTTCGAGTCAAATTGTCGTTATGGACCGCATGTTACAATTTCAAACAAACCACATGCGAAAATATCAAAAGATGACATATGATATGCCATTCTATTCGGAGTGTCATTTTTTATCGAATAAAGTAAAAAAATACCGAGGGTATGCCATTTAAAAATCAAAAGTTGTCATAATTTCAGGTAAAACACAAAGTGAGCAAAAACAAATGATTACGTCAATCAATCCTAATTTATGTCATATAGCAACATACCAAATCTCGTTTTTTTTTTCTGAAAAGATAAAAAAAAGTTATAGAGGTGAGCCACTTTTGACACGCACCCGGCATATTATGATTGATTGACGTATTCAAATGTTTTTGGTCACTTCCTGTTTCACCGGAAATGACTATAACTATTGATTTTTTAAATTGCACCTTCGGTAACTTGTGACACATCGTATTTTTAATCTCGTTTTTTATCTGAAAAAAATAAAAAAGTTATAGGGGTGAGCCACTTTTGAAACACGCCCGGTATATATTATTATGTGTCATATAAATATGATGTAGTTCGTATACTCTGAAAGTAATAAATCTTACCTTGTTAACTCTACTACATTCCTCAATATAATGGGTTGTTATTATAATTGACGCGTTTTTCATTTCCACTAATTCTCTAAGATAACTCCAAATTCTAAAAAATTCACATCATTGAAAAAACTAACAATATATCTATATACAAAATATAAATATATCTATATAATATATCTAATATATAATATATCTATATTCAAATATCTTAATTTTTATGTTTATATGTTTAAATAAATACATTTTCTCAGATTTTAATCGGGAAAATTTAATAGACGATAGAACTTGCAAAAATAAAATAAAAAGTTCATATCAACTTGTAAGATTTAAAGCTTCCTTTTCGAGATACAGGGTACCATTAGAATACCAATTATAATATTAATTACCAATTAGAATTTAACTATTTTTTGCAAGAAATAAGCAAGATAGACAAAAAAGTCAGGAGACAAAAAAATAATATTTTTAATTACTAAATCCAAAAATAATATTAAACTTCTAAAAAACCAGTGGCGTGCCTACTTTTTCCTTTAAAATAATTTAACAGTGATGCCCCACCGCCGCCCCTGGCCATTAAACTTAAATCTAATTACATCAAATTACGTCCCATAGTAAGTATTATAAACGGATCAAGTTAAAACAAAATCGATTAAATAGTTTTTCAAATATCTTATTTTTTTTTTCTTTTTTAAGTAACTTTAACACCCTGTATCTCGAAAAGGAAGCTTTAAATCTTACAAGTTGATATGAACTTTTTCTATTTCTAAGTTCTATCGTCTATTAAATTTTCCCGATTAAAATCTGAGACACCTTGTATACAGTATTTTTTTAAATATGTTGCTAGGCGTTCAAAAAAATCTATAAGTTAATATGCGCAAGTACGATATTTCAAAACCATCTTGTTTTGTTTCAGAAAAATCTACGTACTCAGACTTTATTATAGAAATTATTAAACTAAAAATAATAATAAGAACAATTAAAATTTAGAATTCAATTAGATTATGGATCGGTGCTATATTGTCACATCCTTCCACAAGCTATCGAATGATTAAAAAAACGGCGTCCAGTTGGTTTGGAAATAACAATCGATGCCATTCTCTATACAGTAGAATTTCAATAGTCCGGACACTCTCTAGAACGGGCACTCCAGCAATCCAGACATGGCTATTATTCGGGCATTTTAAAATATTTGCCACCGAAATCCGGGCGCAAAAAAAAATCATACGCAAAATCTCAGAATTTTCCAATCTGGACAAGCAGAAACGTTTACATTTTGTTTATGAACTGAGTCTATATTTCTACATTGGATTCTAGAGCGGGTTAAACGTAACAGTTCCAATCAAACGAGCACATAAGATTCTTAAACTCGACGAAAAATCTAAAATATTATAGTATCTTGATTCTGGAAAAAAACGCCAAATTGCGGAACACATTATGGTTTCAAAATCTGCAGGGTTTGACATCAACAAAAGGGATAAAATAAGAACTTTTATATCAAAATAATTTCAAAGGTTAGGTAGGAATGCAATTATCCGATGACGTATATTGTTTTAAAGGCAAACAAAAACAATTAAAAAGAGAATAATAATCTTAACTATAGTCAAATTTGAACTATAGTACATCCAATGGGGTGACAGGGATACTTGTGTCTCATCATTTTAAATCACAAGTAAATTGTATGTATCTGTCATTTTTTGGATATTATCTGTCGGAATCTTCTCTGAAAATAAGTTTATATGTTTAAATAAATACATTTTCTTTGTTTAAACGAAATTAATCAAAGTGATCCCTAATTCGTTTTGACTATTTTATATTAATTTTTACATAAAATAGAAAAAAATTACATACTTATCTCTTAAAAGTGAATCTAGACCGACTGTTGGTTCGTCTAGAATTAATAGAGGAGGACTATGAACAATGGCACACACAAAAGAAATTCTTCTTTGTTCTCCACCACTGCAGGTTGTTGTAAAGCTGAATTGACAATTAAAATAATGTCAAAATATTATTGTATTATTAAGTACATCGCTCAATATTAAAACTTTACCAGTTGCGAGGAGGAAGCTCTAACAGGGTTGACAATTCTTCAAATCGATTTGTTATTGAAATGGTATCCATATTTGCTAATCTTCCAAAGTAGAAAACTGACTCTTGAATGGTATATTCAGAAACGAGAGAGATATCCTAAAAAATATTACAATATACAGTATGATCGAAAAAAACGGTGTCTAGTTGGCTTGTAAATGAACATCAACAACCTACAACCGGTATACCGGTTCCAACAATTAGATCGGTCGGACCGATACTGAACCGGTATACCGGCTGGACCGGAAGACATAAACGAATAAGCCAAACTGACCAACTTCTTGTTCGGATAAAAACCGGGATCGCACAATGATCAGGAACGTTCGCGAAAACTCACGAATAGTTCGTCCCTATAGTCATGAGGGACCGTTCACTCTATTACAACACTACTTTTTCTGATACATCTTAATAAATATTCATGAAGGATGCGACTGTGCTTATTATCTAGATCGAATAACTCTTACTTGAGGCATGAATCCAATTTTATGATAGAGATCTGGGTCATCACGAGGATTTTTCCCAAAAACTTGAATTTCTCCACTGTCATATTGTTTACGGCCAATAATGCAATTTAACAGTGTTGTTTTTCCACAGCCACTTGCACCCAATAAACCATATCTGTTGAAAGTGTAAAAAATAAATTATTTTTGTCTGCTATTTTACCGTTGAAAGTGCCATATGAAATGAAAACGCAAATATTTGCAAAACCGTTAACATTTTTGAAATACTTTAAATACAAAAAATGTTCATTTTTTCATGGTTTAAAGTTACGATATTTATAGGAAAGCCCCAAAGTACAGACCCACTATAGTAAATACCTAGTACCTATACAGTTTTGATTTGAGGACATTCCTTGTATTTTTAATAATTTTTTTTTAAAAGGCTAAAAAAGTTTTTTTCTTATTTATTTATTAATATCTCTGAAACTATCAAAACATATTTAATAATATCCTAGGATTATGTAAAGTGGTCAGAAAGGAAGCCAAAAATGCTACAATATACAGGGTGTTCCATTTAAAAAAATCATCCCGATCTACTCAAACTTTTTTGAGCCACCCTGTAGAAGTTAAAATATTTTTCTGATATATGTACATCCTAATACATACTTTAGGTTTGCACTTAAACAAAATTCCTACGTTTTTTATTATAAGAGCTACAGATGCCCGACCAGGGGCGTAGATAGGTGTATGCTATGGGGGTGGTACTATGATTAAGTCGCAAAAAAAATCACCGTCGGAATTTTTTTGTCGAATTAAAACGACGGCGATTTTTTTGTCTTCAAAAAGATATACAAACATAACACAAAAATTAAAATATAGATTTGTAAATAACATAAACAAAAATGAAACAACGACGTTTATTAGTTAATTTTCTATAAACTATAAATAAAAAACTCTAAACTATCAAAAAAAACTATAAAAACTATAAACTATAAATAAAACTACAAAACAAAATCAAGTTTTCTAGTACGCTGTTTGGAAAACCTATCAATAACAGCATCAACAATTATTTCAATATCTTTATGGATATTGATTAGAGTTAACCCCACTAATCTGTCCTGGCCAATAAGAACACTTTGTGTGCTTTTAATTAGGTCGAACATATTATAAACGATAAATCAACATAATTAAAAGCATACAAAGTGTTCTTATATGTCGGATATTAATTAAAAAAATCCTTTCATAGTCAATAACTATTTCAATTCTCGTATCTCGTCAAGCGTCAGAGGGGGGGGGGGGGTACTGGGGGACAGTACTATCTACACCCTTGTGCCCGACGCACTATTGTGGGACCCTGTATAATATTTTTGCTAATTTACGAGTTTTATCATATTACTTTTTTGTAAAACTGTAAATGTTGCGAAATCCCGAACATAGAGCATTTACTACCCATATTATGCATAAGATGCCCTCATACCATGGAAAATTTATGCAACGCTGAAAAAAATGCCATAGACGTTTTCTGATCTTGGATTATAGAATTTTATTTTATTAATTTCAGTTTCGAATATTCACCAATGGCAAATATTCAGTTAACTTCCCAATCTACATCTAACTATATCCTAGTTCTAGGTACTCGTAATTAATTTTGAAGTGAAACTTCGCTTTACGCGCGATGGTAAAAATTCAAGGTCGTGACACACCACGACCTTGACACGACACGGCCTTGACACACGAGCTAGTGGAAAAAAAAGTAGTAAGGATCGCGATAAACACCAAAAAAACATTTGATTTACAGCTAAGAAAAGCATTATAATAAACTTGATACTGTACCTGTGTACCAATATCCTCTGGTTGTATCCTAGGAAGTCAATTTTCATGCATATTTTTATCGATAGGTTTGTAGGTTCTAAATAACGGTCTAGAGGTCTAGAGGTAAAGCATTTAGCTCATTTGCTAGCTCAGAATTATAGCCTAAGAGCTGACGACACACAATGGTTCAGAATTTGAAAAAGCTGCTCATAGATGCCAAAGTTCGAGTTGCAAATTTACTATATTTAACACATTTATTATTGATACCAGACCTTAATCTACCTTCACATAAAATGGTTTTGACCAATAACGCATAAAAACATATTTACAGCATTTTGCTTATCTTGTTTTGTGACCTATTTTTAAAGATTTGTGAAATGCAGTGTTGAGAAGTGGATTCATTCGATAGTACCGCATTGGAAACAAAATATTTTTCTGTGTAGAATATACCAGTATGGGAAGACATAGGTAAGTGTTCATTTTTATATTTTATCCTTTGCAATACATATGTTACCGGCAAAAATATATTGAATAAAAGAACATGTTATAATTTTTTCAAATTTTAAATTTAAATTCATAAAACTTTAGAGGTTTGCGAGGACCCACGTTAATTTTTTCACAGAAATATTCTGTTCAGTAATAGGTTTTTACCGTCCAAATTTCGTACCCCCCTGCACCCCCCTTGCGCAGTAATAATTATTATTTAAAGTAACAAAGTCAAGTATTTTATTTAGTAACTGTTCCAAAACTATTATGAAACGGAAAATACTCTGTGTTAAAATACCTACTATTCTCTTTGTTCCACTTCTAGGTTTACCTTTTTGACTTTCAGGTGTAATCACACGCCAAACCGTTTGCGCCAAGTTTCTAAAAATTAATAAAATGGATTTCAAAATAGAAAGGAAATCGATATAGCAAATGACATTTGTGTTTTTATAAACGAACGAGTGGTTCGGCACAGCTAGGTAAGATCAAATAATTTTTAAGTGGTTGGGCACACAGATGGCGAAGCAGCAATTATTGTTTGGATAAATTTTTGGCAAGAAATAATGTCTGGCTAAGTCAGCCGATTATTGAAGAGGAAGTAGAGCTCATGGATTTTGAAGAGTCTGGTCCATCAGCAAAAAAACAATTTATTGAGTTATCCGTTTTCCAAAAAACGAAAGTCTAACGAAACTCATGAATACGAGGATACGATATAATTTTTAAATATTCATAATATTAATTATATAATTCATAATAAATTATTTCACACTTAATTACTATGAATTTTCTTGAGAACATGATTGTTTATTTATTTGTTGAAATCCCCTTTTGTAAAAGGTAAAATAAACGTTGTTTAGTTCTTTAATTGTTCCAAAAAGTTTTATAATATTTCATGTCTTTCAAGTTGCCTAATTTATTAAAAATCTTACTTTTCATTGTTTTGCCATACATCTGATTACACAGATATTTTCTACGTAAAAAGTTGTTTTAAGAAAGTTTTGACAGATATCAAAAATTTTCATAAATAATGAAATTACATGGTGTTTTCAAAAATGCCTCTTTTGGGGTTTTTCTAAATATCTCAAAAACCAAAAGTGATAGAAATAGAAACACAAACATAAATTACAAACAGAATTGGCTGAAAACTTTCCCTATTTAACCATTTTTATTATCTCTAGCAGTTTCCGCGATCGCAATATAAACATCAATTTCGGACACTGTATAAATAAAAATTAGTTAAGTATAGGTTAAAATACTTTTTTGATACCTACTCTTATAATAAATTATAGTAAATATTCATAAATTTGCACATTATCTTTAAGAATTCCCAATTTAATCAATAAAATATCCAATGAGCAGCTTTTTCAAATTCTGAACCACTGTGCGACATATTTAGAGAACATATATTTTAGGCAAGCTACACAGATAACAGAACTAATTTAGATTGGCGACTCTCGCCCTCCCGCCAAAACATGTTTTACAGCGACGCTCGTGGAGCGTGCGGGTACTAAACTTCATTTGCCGATATATTCAAATCGGAATAATTTTACAATTTATTTTCAAATACATATCTTGAATAATTCAAAACTATAAAGCAAGTTGCAACTACTGTTTTGATTACTATTTCATCAAATATGAATAATTTGCAACCTACTTTATTGTTTTGAATTATTCAAGATATGCATGTAATGTAAAATTATATGTTAATAAAAAACAGAGATTTCTTTTATATTATTTTATTTAGAATTAAATATAAAATATAAACAAAATATCTACCAAATCAAGTCGATTTACTGCTTGGCACCACATTCTTCTCATCTATAAAAACAATAAAAAAATTTTTTAAGTACCTAGTATAAAATAACAGAATATAGAATATTTACTAAAACAAAATAATGGAAACACTACACTTTAGTAGAATTTAATATTTTTAAAATGAGATTCTAAGACAAACTTTTAACTGAAATGGACTGAATTAAGATATAATAACATAAAAATTAAAGGTAGATTCTTACCTCAGAGTATTTTGGTAGGCAATGTGTTTTCACATCTTTACTAGTATTTCTACAGCCAGGAACACCATAACAGAATACCATTTTGAACAAATATATTGGAAATTTATGCTAAAAAAACACCGAATCACACCACTACAGTAACGAAACGAACAACACGAAAAGCAAAACACAAACTGACAACTGACAACTGACCACGACCACGTGCGACGCGAAAATTGTGTCCGATCGACAGTTTGGGGAGTGGGGCTGACCAGCTGACGTCTGGAAGCGATAACAGCACAATCCGTGGCGCGTGAATGTACTAAAAATAAAGACCTGTCAAATCGCAGGAGTGCCCGCCCCATGGCAAGTTAGAATAACTAAAAATGTATAGTTTATTAACTGGTGAACCCAGAATCCTAAGTCTGGCTGGGGGGTATTTCGCTACTGCGCAACCCATAACATTTGCAAAAAAATAAATCTAAAAAACATTCTTTAGGCAACTTGAAATTTGTTTATTCTTAAATTTTAGCATCTATTTAACCTAGAAATAAGTATGCCAGACTTTTTTTTCGGGTTTAAAGTGTAACCCGACCATTCCAAATATGTTTAATTATTATACCTGGAAAACATACTTTAGGCATTCAAAAATTTTTACAGCGTATTTATTAGATGATATTAAAAAATATGTGTTAATTGCCAGACGAATTCAATGAGATTTAATAATTGCCAGACGCGAATAAAGATTTTAAATGAGCGCGAAAAGAAAGTCTTATGAGTATCTATAAGCGCGAAAAAGATAGTTTATTGAGACCCGGTCGGCAGCCGATGCGGCTGACGTAACTGCATTTTGGAGTAGTAAAAACTAAAAAAAAAACTAATATTGAATAAATAAAAAGAAACATTTATTAATAAAAATGTATGATTGAAATCCTTAATAAGAAGACTTTTTAATCTAAGTATTTTGTATCTGAAAGAATAAAAAGACGAATAATTATTTAAAAATTAGCATAATATAAAATATATTTTTTTCAAACGTCACAAAAGTATAATTATTATTATACTTTTGTATGACATATTATATTATTATTAATTTTTGCGACCTGATTGACAATATAAAAACGTCATTTTAACGCCTAAGCATAAAAGTAAAGCACTTTTACTTACTTTTGAATCTATTTAAAAAGATTAACAATGGTACTTTGATAACATTCCAGAATACTTATTTTTTTAGCACTGTACAGGGTACCCTTTTTTTTCGGGACTGCATTTTCTGGTAAAACCACTTCTTTAAACTTTAAACCATGTTGTTGGCGCACTTTCAAAAATTCTTTGCATTTTTGTAGTCTGCCTTCATCAAAAACAATGACTTTGTCACTAGTAACTTTTTTACAAACTAGACAACTTAAATGTTTTTTATCCATTGTGATTTAGTAGTTAGTAGCGAAATTAGTAATTACTAAAATATTTATTTGCAGTAATTATTCTAAACTATTTACACTATGCACGTCAATATTTAATTTATAAATACATATTTGTACATGGTAACTTAATTCCAGCAAAATAATCACTGAATTAAAAGCCTGCAAATAATTGAAATGAAACCAAAAAAAAATTGTTTTTATGAATATTTGAAGTACTCCAAAATACTGTTACGTCAGCCGCATCGGCTGCCGACACGCGACGGGTCTCAATAAACTATGTTTCTCGTGCTTATAGATACTCATAAGACTTTTTTGTCGCGCTCATTTAAAATCTTTATTCGCGTCTGGTATTAAATCCCATTGAATTTGTCTGGCAATTAACACATATTTTTTAATATCATCTAATAAACACGCTGTAAAAATTTTAGAATGCCTAAAGTATTTACAGTAGTAGTTACACTTACTTACATTACAGTAGTTACACTTTTTTTTTAAACCCGAAAAAAAAGTTTGGCACACTTATTTCTAGGTTAAATAGATGCTAAAATTTAAGAATAAACAAATTTCAAGTTGCCTAAAGAATGTTTTTTGGATTTATTTTTTTGCAAATGTTATGGATTGCGCAGTAGCGAAATACCCCCAACCCCCCAGCCAGACTTAGGATTCTGGGTTCACAAGTTATTAAACTTTATTTTTTTTTGTTATTCTAACTTGCCTAAAATATGTTCTCTAAATATGTCGTCAGCTCTCCGGCTATTAGAATTATTAGAGTTAAGCAACTTGCATTTTTATTGGAAGACATTGTCATATTTGTTTCAAACCAATATAATCAACGAAAATATTCTTATAATTTAACAAAATTGCTTGCTGTAAACCACTATAAAGCTTGTCGCCTACTTGTCCGGCACAGCACGGACCGTAGCTGCCCGTCGCTTGCAGGCGACAGAGACCTTGGTCGACCACTTTTCCGGTGGAAACCGGCAAACCGTCACGTCGCGGTCGTGTGCGAAGATCTTTTTATTTTAGTTGACATGTAGCAGTGACAGAGTCACTAGATGTGAAAGCAGCAGTTCTGATGAAGAAATGTAGCGGCCGACATTTTTGGCGGAAGAAGAAGAAAAGAAAAAGAGAGAAACATGTGGGTCCATCCCATTAATCAAAAGATGGCTGAACTCGGAGAGTTCCATCATTTATTTAACGATTTAAAAGAAGACGAAAAGAAATGTTTTCAATATTTTAGAATGTCGCCCAATAAATGCCTAGAACTGCTTGATATTTTAGAGCCTAATTTATCATTTCAAAATTCCTCATTTCGAAGAGCAATATCGAAAGAAGAAAGGGTTGCCGCAGGACTGCTTTCTCGGACTCAACAACAACCAACAACTGCCAAAATAACTGCAAAACAAATATGCGATCGACAGGCTACCACGAGTTAATGCAGGCCACCGCCGACTCCGCGCACACTTGACCAGCCCGTCCCGGCACGGGCCGTCGTTTAACGGGGAGAGTCGGAGAGCTCGAATCTGTTCCGTCGATGGACTCGCCGTTCCGTGCCGTGACGGGCTAATGTGCGATAGTCTATTCATTTGCATGGTTTTAATCCTATTCGTATTTTGACGGTCCGGAACGGGACGGGACGTGACGGCCAAGTGGGCGACAAGCTTAATACGAATTGCTAGGTTCATTTTTTTTCTCTTCTTAAATAAATTTAAGCGTTAACATTATTAAGCATTTGCATAGAGGTATGTATTTTTGGTGGTATTCGTATTTGTACAGATTACAGAAATAAATTGAAAATAATATTTATATTAAAACAGCTCTGTACAGGGTGTCCCAGGCTGAGCGTGCATTAGAAGTTTCTAGAGAACTACATCATCTAGCGCTTAAGCAGGCAGTATTTATACTATAGGAAATTCAAATAATTCGTTTTCAGGCAGGTGGAAATAAATTGAATGACCGTTTGACACTTAATGTCAAAGGAAGCTAGATAAAATCAAGAGAAATATACGTTTTCAAACTCAATCTTAAATAACTTAAAAACGATTCATTTTAGGTATAGGAACATTTATAGTTAAAAAGTAATGAATTGAAAAACCTTTTCATTAGTGAAATAAAAAATGTCGGTTTCGAGTTTTAATCACTCAATTCCGTGACAGCTACCGCCATTATTATATGAGATTTGAACAATTTAATTTTTGAAATCGATAGGCACATAATATCTTCTCTTTATGTCACAGTGGCTGTGGTAATCACTAAATTTGACTTTTAGGTTATACACATTTTTTTGACAAGTAGTTTTTTTCGTCCAAAAATTTTAAATACTATTTTTCTCAAAAACGGTTAATGCTAGATATAGAGTGTTTAACATCAATATTAATAGAATTTTACAGAGAATTTAAGTATGTAATAAAAAATGGGGACACCGATTTAAAATAAGAAAGTTGCTGTCAACTTCCGGTATTTCCGGAAGTGCCGCCATATTGAAAATATTTTTAATGGATAGATCATAGATAAATGCAACAAGTTTAGATTGGAAAGCCCGTAAAAATTTTAGGTCGCGAAATTATTTTGGGTCGCGACCGTTATACGCGATCTGGCGCTGCTATAGCGGTCGCTAAGAAATGGCTAAGAACAACGGCAAACAAAAACAGAAATAATTTTCTCTTGTCAAAGTCAGAATCTTCAAATATCATAATAATCTTTCAAAATCTAAACCGCTCTCATTAAAGAAATTCCTAAAAGTGTTTATAGTGTCCATTTTCAAAGTAATTATTGCTATCTTGTGAGTTTAATTCAAATTTTATTTATTCCAACCGGTGATAATTGTGAAAAAGTGGCATTCAAAACTTAAAAAGCTGTGCTGTGTACTGTGAACTGCAAAAACCATCGTGGATCGTGGCATAACGTCGCCGTCGGTTTCCAATGATGTTTCATAGGTATTTCATACATGCGTCCTTATATAAAATAAAGTTTCTTGTATGCAACACACTGTATTTTATTTATGAAATTAAACGAAAATAATAATAAATTTGAATAAACAATATTTGGCGATATAATTCCGGAAAAAGCCGAACCGCTCCGAAATTTTCAAAAGTTTTGGGTCGCGACCGTTGCAAGAATAGCGCCAAATAGTGTTTACATTGTCCTTATGGGCACTTTCCAATCTAAACTTGTTTCATTTATCTATGGGATAGATCTCGTTGTAAAACAATGATGTGCAAAAAATCTCCGATCTAGTGTTTAAAACCTGTTTAATAGCTGTTAAAAGATTCACTTAGCGCCAAATATGCGCACATCATAGTGCACACACTGTTTTTTAATTAATATGCTGGTTTACTTACATTATTCCTTTCTCTATGCTCATGGTAAGCTCATTTAATACGACACTTTTATCATACTTTTTCACTAAATTTTTTACATAAACTACTTTTTCCTGTTTTTCAGTCATTATAAGATGATTCTCTCTCGTTTTTCACCAAACCACCACGTTTAAATCCACTCACTCAACTGTAATATGTGCATATGAATACTCCATACAATATTTATTTTTATTTTTAATAGTAGGAGATGATGGACAAAAGTAGCACCTTCTATGTATATAATTATCCAAAAATAGTATGAAAATATGAAGTAAGTTTAGTGAAAAAAACACATACGTAGTAGATGGTAACTAATAATAATTTCTTATAATTAATAAAAGTACATTTCCTTTTTAGGGTTGCGTACCGTTTCAAAATATTGCAAATACAATGTAGAACAAGGGACCTGTTTATAAAAAATCTTAGAAATGAGCAATTTTAACAAACATACTTTTGGACTAGAGAATTTTTATAGTCATATCTCACTTTGCCTGATATTTGTTTTTGATTAAGTTATGCTCAAATCATGCAAATTTGTAAATCTATAAACCTAAAATAAATCTCCGTCCAAAGAAGAAAATGAAAAAAAAAAGATATTTTGATATTTTCACAAAGAAATATGATTTTTTGTGTAATTAGTCTATTAAATTATTTTACTCTACCTTCCACTGAATAATTAATATTGTTTTAAAATCTTATTAGAGATAATTATTACTGATATAATTATAATATATAGGTAATAAAAATAATAATTATTGGTAATTAACTAAGAAAAAGCAAGCTGACGTAAAGCAAACTTATTAAAAGAAAAATGCCATCGAGATAACACAGAAAATGGATTGTAGTTCTTTAAATTTTCTTATGTATATCTTTATAATATTCTTATGCCATAGTCTTAATTACTAATTAAAAATATACAAACACCGCAAATTTTATATCTAAATGCTTTTTATATGTATATAGGTTCATAAGGTCATCCAAAATTAGATCTTTGGTATGTGAACATTGATATAGTAATGTTTTTTTAATTTCAGGTTGATGGCCAGTTCTTTCTAAAACAATATTGGAGTGATAGTCCTTTTCCATTATATTAGCGACTATTTATCTGTATACCGGGTGCGGTCTCAAAAGTGTTCTGCTCACCCCTATAACTTTTATTATTTTTTCAGATTACAGAACATGACGTAAATTAGGATTGATTGACGTATTCAATTAGTTTTGGTCACTTCGTGTTTCACCGGAAATGCCTACAACTTTTGATTTTTAAATAACACATTCGGTATTTTGTTACTTTATTCGATACTCTGAATAGAATGACATATCATATGTCAACTTTTGACATTTTCGAATATGGTTTATTTGAAATTGCAACATGGGGTTCATAACGACAATTTGACTTGAAATACCAAATGTGTTGTATCAAATGATTCGTTCACCCTCGTTCCATTTGAAAAAAATGAGATATGATCACAAATACGATTCGGGCATCTTTCTTTTAACTGGCCAGGACAAGACATTAAAAACATTAGACGATCAAATATATTTTTCCATGACTCCTTGATAAAAATTAGTGTTTTTAACACAGCCATGGCACTCTAGAATGACATTTAAAACACAATTTTGTTTTAAGAGAAAATATCAAAAGTGGACATAAAATATGGACATTTTCTATCGAAGAAAGTAAAAAAATACCGAGGGTGCCATTTAAAAATCAAAACTTGTAGTCATTTCCGGTGAAACAGGAAGTGGCTAAAAACGTCATATACCAAATTGTGTTTCTTTTGATCTGAAAATCATTTTTATCTTAATAAATTAAACGTATAACTTACGCCACTTTTGAGACGCACCCGGTATAGAATCAAAAGCTGATTCTTAGCTGATTTGAATATCCGTCAGTTGACTGTTCCCGGCCAAAAAATATATTTATACACGTTATTAATTAAACCGTTTTTTTAAACTTTTGAAGCCATATGATGCACGAAAATCTCCATTTTTACTAACAATTTCTAATGAAATAACCGGGCTTTTTAAGTTCTATAACGTTACATATTTTCGGTTGGACATTATTTTTATATTTCTAAAGAGAGTATTGATTCAATAAACATTTTGATCGTCAGACATGGATATTAAAGATCAGAAGTGAACTGATTTACACATTCAAGTTCAACCGTTCCCAAGAAGGGAGAAATGCGAAAGACAAAGCAAGGAGACCGTGCTATACTAGGAGTACGTTCCACTAAGCACTCATAACGTTCACGCTCAAGATCGCGATTTTTCCCGTTCCATTGGCTTGCGAGCAATCATAAACTCAAGTGGAATGGGTTATGGAGCGTTTTAAGCGTCAATCCTGTCAATGTATGTAAATAAATAGTAAACAATATAGTCAAAATCACAGAAGAGAATTCAAAATATCTGTCTCAAAAAAAGAAATCAAAATGTCCTTGGCGACAGTTGGATATTTGGTGCATCGGAATGTGTCTGAAACTTCTTCATCTAGTTCAGACGAATAGTGGAATGCAATTTTACAAAATCGCGATCGTAAAAAGCGCGTAAAAAGGCCACGTATTATTGGCTATGAGAATCTATGAAAATTTTTATGTTAAGTCGGTAATCTTTTGTCTAAGTTTTAAAAATTACGCCAAAATTCCTCAACGTCCACTTCGATCCTAATATTCAGATGGGTCGTTGTGAGCTCGGCGTGAGCGAAAATAATGACGTCATTAGTGACGTTTTCGCCGCGACCACAATGTCCGCGATCCTCATGTGGAACGACCGAAGGCATATTTTAATCATTATGAGCGCTTAGTGGAACGCGCTCTATAGGTCTGGTCACTTCATCTGCGTGGTCTGTATTTTAATGCATGCGACAAAAATAAAAATAAATGACCGGTTGACAGACAGAGAGACAAAATAAAAAGCTGCATACAGTGTTGCCGGTTTTTACGTTTGTAGGAAAATGTGTACAGAAACAAACTATTTTAAAAACTTTCATGTGTACTACTGAACTGAAGATAATAATATCTAAGATAAATATAATGTATTACAGCTGTAGTAAAAAGAGTTACTAATTGTGAAAAATAAAGTTCCAACCCTAGATGCAACACTTTTCATAAACGCCTACTCGTGCGGTTTGAAATTTTGATGCAAAATCCGGCTATACGAAGAATAGGAATATAGAAGAAATGAATCAACCCAACTTTTATCTCTTTTTAATACATTTGATTTTCTACTAAGCTGTCTACATCACTGTCTTACACGTTAAGATCCAAACCACGCAGTTTCGATGACCAGATCGGTATAAATGACAAGCCTTTTTAGAGAAATGTTCCGAATTATGGAGGTAGCGTTCCGAATATAACATCACAACAATTAGGATGCTCCGGTTAACGTGTGTTCGGATAAAAGACGTTGCTTGGTATAAATTAGTATAAATAGTAGAAAATAAAACACTACATTTCTGTTTATGGCCTTTTAATAACATGGGTAAAATAAATGTATAATTTCAAAATATTGATCTTAAGCTTTGAACAATTTAAAAAAAAATAAACAATAAAAAAGTAATTTACAAAACAAATAAAAAAATACCGATTCTGTGTATATCCTATAACAAAACAAGACTGTAATAATACTTATTATTTGGTGGCGGCGTGAATAGCATGGGCGAGATAGTCTACATTTTTACTTGTAACACCTGCCATTGAAATTCGACCATCTTTTGTAAGGTAGACACTAAATTCTTTGATTAATTTTTCAACCTAAAAAAGTAAAGTAATAAATATCACAGTAAAAAAGAATAACCGAATATAAAAAAATATATCTATTTTACTTTTAAAAATAGCAGGTTAGTCGTGACTGACTAAGTTAAGAAAAAACTCAAAATTTAAGTGAGGATGCAGTCAATAATCACCACATAGGCTAATAAAACTACTTTTTCAAATTTGTCAAGCTTCCGAGAATTTTATTCCCATCATCAGGACAGTTTGACTGAGTCAATTAGCAAAAAAACATCCTTTGCACAAAAAGGCCTTAAAAACTAGCATCGTATGACATTCGACTACAAGGACATTTCCTTTATAAAATATTAAAATACATATCCAACGATATTACTTTTCTTTTACACACAACCAAAAAGATTTTTATTTAAATTTAATTTCTACATTGTTATTTCGAGCTCGATCAAACAGTGACTCCAGTCACTGTAGTCAACTATTTTAAAAACTTTCATGCCGTACTACTGAACTGAAGATAATAATATCTAAGATAAATATAATGTATTGCGGCTGTAGTAAAAAGAGTTACTAATACATACGATGCTAGTTTTTAAGGCCTTTTTGTGCAAAGGATGTTTTTTTGCTAATTGACTCAGTCAAACTGTCCTGATGATGGGAATAAAATTATCGAAAGCTTGACAAATTTGAAAAAGTAGTTTTATTAGCCTATGTGGTGATTATTGACTGCATCCTCACTTAAATTTTGAGTTTTTTTATTTTACTTTTATATTGTTCAATATTATTATAATTATTCAGTAATTAACTTATATCAGATGAGTGCGAAAAAATTAGTTTTCCTATATAAAATAGGATACAGAGTGTCCAATTTTGGTAGCAATTGAGGGTTTTTTCACTTTATTAAAAAATATAGAACCGTGCGGTTTATGTAAACCTAACCTACTTTTTAAGTGCAACTTATGATGCTGAAAAAAAAATTATTGAATGTAATACCACAAGATGTTTCGGGATTACCGAATAATACTTTTACCTGACACGAAATGCGTTACCCGGCAACACTAATCCTCCTTCGGAGTCGTAGTGTTGCGGGTGACAAATTGAGTGTCAGGCAAAAGTATTAGGTAATCCCGAAACATCGAGTTGTATATGAAATAAAGTACATATACTTCTTGTAAAATCTTTCTTTTGCCATTTTGTAATAAGAATTGGCAGGATATTTTGTGGAACTGACAGAAATGACTTCTGAATTAATATTTCAAAAAATGACAATTACAATATGGCCACCGAGCGATAATCACTTAAATGATTATCGCTTATTAATCACATCCTTCTATATAATAAAAATATACATAGAGTTGTATAATCACTCTTATCGCTTAGTTTTCTTTTTTAAAGTGATATTAAAGATGTTGAAATTTAAGGCACTCTGTATCTCAGTTGTCTATGTAAAAAAATGTGTAAAAACGACTGAAGAACTAGAAAAAGGACACCCTGTATATTTGTCAAGAGATGAATAATGTGTTAGTTTCTCAAAAATATACAGGGTGAGTCTTAAATAAATGCAAATAATTTCAGGGCTGATAGATCTCGATAAAAGAAACATATTTTTTCTCTTTGCCGTTTTTTAAATAAACAACCAAATTTCCAACGCAAAGCAACATAACCGAGTTATTCTACTTTGAAAATTTCCAAAAAAAATATTTTTTTTTAATTTTGAGAACCAACCACTGGATCTTTTCTGGGTTTTATTTCTTGTAAATTTAATCTATTACCTATGTAGCCATATCAAGAAATTATGTTTTTAACTAAAAACTAAAAAAAAATTCAAAAAATTCCGAATTTTCAAAGAATTTTTTCGCGAAAAAAATCTCATAATCGTGTTTCTGGGGTCGAAACTCACCCTGTATAATGTACACAGTTTAAAATAAAAATTATAACTGAAACAAAATACCGTATGATTGAAAAAAAACAGCGTCCAGTTGGCTTGGAAATCAACATCAATGACCCCCCCCCATTCGCAATATAATTTACACATATAAAATGACAGCGATCTTCATTTCCATTTTTTCTTCCTTCATATTGTATTTTACATAATTAATAATATTTCAAACAGGAAGTACTTCTAATAAATATACTGGGTGAGTCTTAAATAAGTGCAAATATTTTTAGGAGTGCTATATTTCGACCCCAGAAACGTCAATGAGGCTATTTTGGAATTTGCTATTTGGAAAATTTGGAATTTTTTGAAAAAAAACTAAAATTGAAGAATTAATTTAAAAAAGACGCATCGTTTTTTTATTCGCATTATTAGGTAATGCAACAAACCTCAATGTTCAGCCTCAGCAAGGTGCAAATACCTGCTTCTCTGATCATAACAAGGGCTATGAAATCAACGCCCACTGTATCAATGGAGGGCCTTCTGAACATTCCGCCTCTTCACATAGTGATCCAGGCGGAGATAAGAATTGAATATCGACAACAAAGTGCGTTGTGTCTGGGGAATAAGACAGAAATAGGACACTTAAAGATGGATAATTCTATTGGGGGACATGTACTCCAAATGAGATCGGACTAAGGGACCCTTACCAAGTGACATTAGCGATCTTTATCAATACTACAAACCATTCAAGGTGAATAAAACGGATTTACGACTGTGGACTGACGCAACATCGGAATTATAAGATATGACGAACTGTATGAAATATGAAAATAAGATATGAAGATATGACGGAACAGAAGCTGGTGTATTCGGGAAAATAAAAGGGCAAGAGTTTTTTTCCAATAACAAGGGGCCGTCCTCTGTCGGAAACACTGCGACCTGTGAGGCCTAGTGTGTTTATCCCCTTTATATATCTGCACCTATTCTCCTAACCCTGTGCACTGCACTAGCTTATGCGGGTCCTTGACAGGATTGGAGCATAGTTCCTCCGGTTCTAGCCTAGCTTTCCCAAATAAAAATGTCGTTTGCGATCCAGAGCCACGCAGTGACATATTATGTGCTCCGCTGTTTCAGGATCTTTATCGCAGAGTCTGCAGCAAAGACTTCCTTGATCCAGGTTGAGCTTGTTCAGGTAACACTTGACAGTCATGTGTCCTGTCAAGAGGCCTGTTGTAATCTGCACTTTATTCCTGCTACGCATTAGCAGTTCTTTTGCGGTTTTAGAGCTAGGCCCTGGGATAAAAGCCTAGCTGTGTCTGCGCCCCTGTCTGTTTCTCTAGTGGACATTCTGCTTTTCTCTGATCCAGAGTTTTAGTGCACTACGGGCCATACATTTGGGTATTCCCAGTACTGGCTCTGGACCAAGATAGAATGACGATGGTCCTTGCCTAGCTAGCTCATCGGCTTTTTCGTTGCCTTGGATGCCGCTGTGACCCGGCACCCAACAAACAGCAGGAACCACCCAACAGAAGAGCTTACTCAGACAAAAAAAGCTTACTTACCCAAAATATATGTAAGGAGGCACTTGACTTCTACCTAACACAAGTATTATCCGGACCTGGATACTTTGAAGCTTATTTGAAACGCTTCCAACTTAGAGATACGGATACTTGTCGTTACTGCGAACTGGTTGACAATGTCGAACACACGTTTTCCATTGCGCGAGATGGATCTTTATTAGACATGCTGTAGAAGAGAAAGTGGGTAAACTAACATCAGATAACCTAATCAACACCATGCTGAAGAACGAAGTATTTTGGAAGGAAATAAGCAAAATGGCTAAGGAAATCGTTATGGAAAAAGAAGAGAGAGAGAACGTATGATCCGATAGGTCCAAACCAGCTACATAGAACAGAACATCTACATAGAACCCTCCTTCTGAAGTAATGCTAACGCGGTTCCAGAAGGAGACACAAAGGTTCTGAGGGTTGTTTTAGTCAGTAAGAGTCTGACACTACTTCCGTTGTCTTGCCAAGTGCCCATGATGGTTTTTTTCCCTCAGAAAAAAATTAAAGCGGCACTTAATGCGCTTATGAGCCCAAAGGTATCGTCGAGGCTCGTCTGGGAATAATAATAATAATAATAGCTCCCGTATATAGCGTTTAACGCCTTGGGAGTAGCAAGGTACAGCTTGCCATACTAGAGCCGTTCGGTATACAAGGAAGGTAATGTGGCTAGCACTACGCTTCAACCGCCTATTATTACCTCAGGATTGTGAATCCCAAGTACTCATTTAAGGCTGAGTCGACCTAGGTACCCAAACTATTTTTATTTTTAATAAAAATAGTCGACTGATGAAATTCCGGGTGTGGGATTCGAACCCACTACCTTGAGATTGGTAGACGAGAGCCTGTACCTCTACGCCACCGGGCACCTTCGTCTGGGAATACTTTATTAATTTTTCCCAAGTACTCATTTAAGGCTGAGTCGACCTAGGTACCCAAATTATTTTTATTTTTAATAAAAATAATCGACTGATGAAATTCCGGGTGTGGGATTCGAACCCACTACCTTGAGATTGGTAGATGAGAGCCTGTACCTCTACGCCACCGGGCACCTTCGTCTGGGAATGCTTTATTAATTTTTATTAAATTATTTTGCGGGGCCATAGCGGCATCCAAGGCAACGAAAAAGCTGATAAACTAGCAAGGCAGGGATCTCGCAATCCAATCTTGGTCCAGAGCCAATACTGGGAATACCCGCCGTAAAAATCTGGATTTGAGAAAAGCAGAATGTGGAGAAATAGACAGGGGCACAGGCCTAATTCCAAGACCACAAACAAACTGCTCATGCTTAGCAGAAATAAAGTATGGATTATAACAGATCTCTTGACAGGGCATATGGCAGTCAGGTGCCACCTGAACAAGCTAGTATCAAGGAAGTATTTGCTGCAGACTCTGCAATAAATATCCTGAAACAGCGAATATATAACACTGCGAAGTTCCGGATCGCAGTGATTAAATCTTAAATCACAATAGATCTTTAAGGTCGCAGTGATTAAACCCCATCTCACTCATTCTATATTCTTCATTCTACAACTCAGATACATGAAAACTGCAAGGTTCTATCTTATAACCTAACTAGAATGGGACATTCTGTACAATATTCATAAAAAATTAATATTAATAATTTGAATAAATGTAAAAAATTCAATTTTACAAATGTTAAAACTTACTTGTTGGGCATTCATTCCAGTAAAGCAAAACATGCCAATTTGGTTTGTAATATGTTCCCAGTTTCTAGACGATCCTTCTTTTTTCAGATTATCACGGAGTTTGGTTCTTACGGAAATAATTCTATCTGCCATTCCCTTAACTTCACATAACCTACACATCAAAAAGTATTTTAAAGAGAATTAATGCATAAAAATGTGTAAAAACTTAATAAATGATTTTTTTAACTCAATAGTAAAAAGTTTTCCCGTTTGCTGAGAATTTTTTGGACATCCTGCTAAATAGTATGCAGAGAGATATTCTTACCAATCAGATCTTAGTTCTTCATCGCCGAGTATTTCTGATACAATCCTAGCTCCATTAATGGGGGGATTGGAATAGAATGCTCTGATGAGAATTTTAAGTTGAGACATTACACGGTCAGCTTCTTCTTTGCTTTCGCCAATTACACTAAATGCGCCTACTCTTTCTCCATACAGGCCCATATTTTTAGCAAAACTCTGAGCGAGAACTATCTTGTGTCCTTCTTTGACAAATAAACGAACCTGAAAATTATTAAAATACATATACAGTGTCACAGATAAAGTTCGCATCGCATGATTTTTTTATGTATTGGTTTAGGTAAAATTTGACTTGAGCCATAGTTTCTGCGTTGAATTAGATTAAAAACATAAGAAATACATAAGAAAATTTACTCTATGCCCTCGGGTATCTGTCAAATTTGTCATTTAAGGTAATAAATGGGTAAAAAACAGGATTCCTGACCAAATTTCGCAAAGCTTTATTTGAAAAAGTTGTTTCTTTTTTAATTTTACACAAATATACCAATGTTCAGTCATCTAGATGAAACAATTTATTCATCATTTTAGCCAATAGCAGCCGATTCTCGGGATATAGTCAATAATAACTAATAGAAACGCGTTTGTCATTCAAATATTTATCTAGTACTTATATATTTAATTCAATTATTTGAATAAATTAATAGTTTTTATGTAAAGTTAAATAACCTAACCGAAGAAGTTACAGGCCTCGAAAAGTTAAATAAAAATAATATATTTAGTTTATTTTTAAGAAAATTGGTAAACCGTTTTCCTGAAATTTGGTACTCTTACACACATTTTAATGCCCAAGTGAATGGCGATTGTGAAAAATTCCGTAACAGCCCTGAAAGGGCACTTTTCATTAGGGTAGAGAGTACTACTGATGGTACTTCTTTTATCCTTATAGATACAGTAATTTCAGCAAATGATATAAAAAGCTAGAACCTTTTTACGTAAATCAGGTGCTCTTCGTTTAATTCGAAAAGGTGTACGGTTTTCACGATATTTGCGTTAAAAAAATACGATGCATCGATTTTAGTATTATTGAAATGATAAAATGTAAAGAAATTTTAAATAAATTAATCTTCCATTTTAGCTAATACTAAAATGGAAGCATCAGAACCTTTTAACGCAAATATCTTGAAAACCGTTCACCGTTCCAAACTAAACTAAGAGCACCTTTTTTACATAAAAAAAGTCCTAACTTTAATGTTCATTTATTGAAATTACTGTATCCATAAGGATAAAAAAGTACCACCAGTAGTAATCTCTACCCGAATGGAAAGTACCCTGTTAGGGCTGTTATGGAATTTTATACTATCGCCATTCGCTTTGGCATTAAAATATGTGTAAGAGTACCAAATTTCAAGAAAAACGGTTTACCAATGTCCTTAAAAATAAACAAAATATATTATTTTTATTTAACGGGGCAACGGCCCAGCTACGTCGAGTCACCGGTTCCCATTAGAACACCGAAGTTAAGCGACGTAAGGCGATATTAGTGGATGGACGAGTGACCGGTTCGAAACTCTGTATCGTGCCATTGTCCAAAAAAGGCAAAAGTGTAAAATCTATTGACACACACAGCTCATTCACGCCGGTTCGAGGCCAGATGATCGGTTCGGATTCCGCGTAAAACAAAGTAGGCCCCGTCCAGATTAGCCCTGGCAGCAAAAAGGAGACGTTAACTGAAATATTTACTTTTTTTATTTAACCTTTCGAGGACTGTAATTTCTTCGGGAAGCATTTTAGGGCATACGTTACATAGGAACTTTTTGTTTTATTTTTATCTGTAGAATCACCTACCGAAATTAGATACACTATTTTTTGACACCCTATCATCCATATATCAATCATTGTTAATCATTTCTATACAGGGTGGTGACAATTTCGATGCTCAACATTGGCATCTCAGAGACTACAAGAGATACGAATTGGGTTAAATGGGCCAAAAGTTGCATAATTAGATGTTTGACAAACATTTATGAAGAAAACTCCGGTATTAGTTTCGGATTTATATAAAAAAAAGTGAAAATAATACTTTTATATTAAATAACAATATCTTCAGAACTATTGTATCTATTGGAACTTAAGTTGGTAGTTTTATATTTTTGACATCGGCCAATTAGATGCCGTTTTCAGAAAATTTTTAAGCCTTCTAGATTTCGCACAACAACAGTCAAGATTTTGTTTTCTTATGGCCGCCATTTTGAATTTTTATGCTCTTAGATAGAGTGAAAAAAAGTCTATACGGTGGTATCTAATTTTTATTCATTATTATGTAAATTCACTAAAAAAAATTGTTTTTTCAAAATTCGCCGAAGATCAAGTCTTGGAAATCCAATCGACTCTTTATTATGTCAGCAAGTATTTTTTGTTTATTCTATTAAGTGTCAAATCTGGATGCACAAAAATGGTATTTTACTAAGAGTGAGTCCCAGGTGGGACCCTCCACTGAGGCCGCGAGGGCCTATTGTGGCTCAGTTTCTACAAGCTCTTTAATAGAAAAAGAGCATTAAAGTTCGCCCTCAAGACCCAGCCTTTTAACATAGGCCGTTATGTCCGAGGGTGATATGTCTTCTAGGTCTGATAAGTCTAGCGTGGGTTTGCCAAACACCTCAAACCTGGTCCTGCCCCCCAGCGGGCAGGCACACATAACGTGCTTCATTGTTTCGTCATCTTCCATACAGAGTCGGCATTCGGCGTCTTCCACCAGTCCCATCCTCTGTAGGTGTGATCTCAGCCGGCAGTGGCCCGTGTATACTGCAGTAAGCGTACGCGCTCCGTTCCTACCAGCCTTTAGGAGTTCATCTGTTCTACGTTTGGATGGCCCTGCTAGGATTGTTTTGGCATGTTCCATTCCGGGACTGTCATACCAGTCTCGAAGCGTTACACCCCTAACCCATTCACAGAGCCTATCTCTTGCGAGATTTTTTGGTACGCTAAGTGTCGGTTCTGGGCCCACGAATGGTGAGCTTGCACCAGTTTTGGCGAGGGAATCAGCACGTTCATTTCCCTCTAGGCCGACATGTCCCGGTATCCATATTAGCGACACTTTGTTTCCATCTCCTAATATATTGAGTAGTTTCTTACAATGAAGAATCGTCCTGGACGTACTTTTCGTTGCCTCAAGTGCTTTCAACGCGGCTTGACTATCCGAAAATATGCTTATTGTTTTCCCGGTATATTGCTGTTCTACCAGCAGTTGCACACAGGTTTCAATCGCATATAGCTCAGCTTGGAAAATAGTGGTGTGTTTTCCAAGACTCTGGTAGATCTCAGTCTTTGGACTGCTGCAGTAGATTCCTGTGCCAGATCCTTTATCGTTTTTGGATCCGTCCGTGTACCAACACATTTCCGCAAATAATAAGCCGTTTCTCGGCTTATCCCATTCGTCCCTATTCGGAAACGGGACGTTGTAGGTGCGCGTCAAGAGTTGGATTGGAGGTGTGAGATCCGAGACCATTCCCAGAATCTCATCCGATTGTAGTTCGTCTACTAGTCGGTTTTGTATGAACATGATTGTTCCTTGGCTCTCTCGTGCCATATTTAGAAACCTATATGTAGCCCATCTCGCCTCCCTCTCCAAAATAATTTGAAGAGGAGGTAAGTCGAAATAGGGTTTCCATAGCTTTGACGGCGTAGAATGAAAGGCACCAGTCACCGCTAAGCATGCTTGTCGTTGTAATTTTGACAGTTTATTCTTTGCCGTTGTTTGGTTGGCTTTCTGCCACCAGGCAACTGCGCCATACGTGATAATAGGTCTGATGGCTGTCACGTATAGCCAGTACATATTTTTGGGGTTTAATCCCCAGTTTCTACCACAAATTCGGCGGCATGCCCATAGAGCATAGCAAGCCTTTTTTGATATTTTTTCCAGATGGGAGTTCCAGCTAAGTTTTTTGTCCAGGTTTAATCCTAGACAAACTTCCTCCGCAAACGGAATTGTCTCACCAAGAAGAGTGGGCGGTTTTAGTTTGTCTGTTTTCCTTCTTCTGGTGAATGGTATGATCACGGTTTTCTGTGGGTTTACACTTAATTGTTCCAGTGTGCACCAGCCGTGAATTGCATCTAAGACTTCCTGTATTTTTGAGGAGATGTCCTCCTCTTTGTGTCCTTTTACTAGGATTACCAGGTCGTCCGCGTATGCCTGTGCTTCAACCTCGTATGCATCGATGATTGCCATCAGGTCATCCGCTAACAGGGTCCACAGAAGAGGAGAGAGAACTCCTCCTTGCGGGCATCCCCTGCCCGGAACAAACCTGACGGACTCACCGCTGAGCGAGGTCGTTACTAGTACAAAAATGGTATAGTAGAGTTCAATACAGATCAATATAGAACCTAAAATTTCATTATCAAGAATGCCAACCTAATTAAATGAGGATTCTTTTGTGATTTTTTTTCTGTTAAATGTACCAGAATTTGTTAATAAAGACTCATCTGTCCATAATATTTTCTAGAAAAAGGGGGCTCTTGAACACTTTTCCGGAACCATTTGCAAAAATTGTAATCTTCTCTCGTGATCACCAGCATGTAAAAAAATGTAAATTTGGTATACATTTAAATTTAAAGTTGTGATATTTATGTTTTTTGATAATTTTCCTACATAAGAATCACTTATACAAAACTCGCGAGTTTATGTTACTTTACTACTAGAAGTTTCCGGACTTATTTTAATCTGAATAGCACATTAAAATCATTAAGCCTTTTAAAATATTGCCCTCTTGTTTCTTAAAGCTACCAGCAACTGCTAAATTTCATGAAATCCTTGCGAAAATAGTACGATGAGACTGCGTCCTTTCAAGATACAATATTTTATAACTTGCGCATGCTATATCGGAATTTCTATTATTTTTAAGTAAACATCATACATATCACCTGTTTTCTAACTTGTGAACATATTGTTGACTGTTAATATATGTATTTTACACTATTTACTATAAATTTTTGTGTCCAGATTTGACACTTAATAGAGTAAACAAAAATTACTTGCTGTCATATAAAATGTCAATTGGATTTCCACGGCAGACTTGATCTTTTGAGCGAATTTTTGAAAAATCTTATTTTTTTAGTGAATTTACATAATAATGAATAAAAATTAGATACCACAGTATAGATTATTTTTTGCTCTATCTAATGGTATAAAAATTCAAAATGGCGGCCATAAGAAAACAAAAACTTGACTGCTGTTGTGCGAAATCTAGAAGGCTTCAAAATTTTCTGAA